CGAAACAGACCAATCACGACCGACTTACGTCACTTGAGTCTTACAGCCAATAACATCACGGCAAAACCAACCGATCATTTCACACGAACTGGAATAAGAACATTCTACTGACAACAATCATTCACTTGACTCTGATGATGACTTCCGCACAGGTTGTCGAAACGTCAGTCACTGCCACCGACAACAGTCCTTCTCAGGACTACACTCACCCGGACGATCATACTACACCTTCATATCCAGATAATGTAGGTTCGGGAAGGCAACTCTGACACGCTTGCAAGAGAAGCCCAAAAGGAAAAGATAGCGGCTTGCACGATCCAGCACGTAAACCCTACTGCACCCAAGCAATAAACCTGCGGAAAGAAAGAGAAAGAATGACAATCACACAACTCTACTGGTTCGGCAGATTAAGTGAATGATAGCTTCACCTCTCTTTACCGTCTTTTGTTGTCGTTTTTTCTCTCTTATTATTCTTTTGTTTTTCTTTCACATTGTCATATTCAGCATTCCTTTATTTCTGATGTAAGTCACTTAAGTCGGTAAGAGTCTTATCGACTTCTGCAAAAGTGATATAACGCCTTTTTATTTTGAATCGTGTAATGGGAATCATTTAGTCGTGATTAACCCAACAACTGTTGCTTTTGAAATGTGTTGTGTTGTCAAGATCAATAATCATTCAACTCTTGCACTGAGTCTGGTAGTAACACAAGTCTGTTAGTCGTTTTTTTTTTTTTAATCACCAAATCTTCCTAAGAAACATGACCACTAAGAACCTCTTGGCACAAACTAAAACAATATTTACTTCAAATTCTTTTTCTTTTTTGCCACTTCCGGTTGAGGATTAAGAAATAAACATGTAAAAATCAAAATCTGTCGTTAGTTTCCAAGAATTTCAACATTTACCGTAACTTTAACTCCTTGTGTTTTCGCATGTCTATCGTCATCCAAATCCTTGTCGTGAAGAAGACACGTTCCACAAACAACAATGAACAAATTGACGATGATAGCAAGTATATTGACGCACGATCCAAAATGGAATATTGGCGCAAACTGGAGACCACATAGTACGGGGGCGATCAGGCATAAACAGCCAACAACATATCCAAAACCTCGCCATATTTCATTGCGAGGCATCATAATCTGGTGGATATCATTTTGATTTTGAACCTCGCCGCCACTGCCCAGGTCTTCATGATGTTGAACTGAAACTGAAGTATTCTCGTTTTCTTGGTGTTGAACCTCGATAGAATGTTCAAGGAATAGTAAGGAACACATTAAGCGATAATCTATGATCAGTGCCTCGTAGAAACTCGTCAAAACAACAAACCAACTCTTCAACACTTCCTTGTTGATTCCGCTTAACTGAATGTCATTTTCTACGTTTACCCTTTCGATGAAGTTGAAGAGGGACAGCAATCTGAAATAAAACTTGACACTTTCTTTGCGTCCATGGCGTATGACGGTGTTCCATAGATAAATATAGGTACCGGCTTAAATGACTTTTTGCACGAGGAAAACTGACATGTCCATGATAAGAGGGATAAAGAGCCATTGCTTTCTTGTGAAGCTTCTCTTTAGATCTAGAGATGCTGTCGGGAATCGGTTTTCGTCGACAAAGAAACTCACAAATTCTTGATTTTAACAGTTTTAATGGCCCAGCACTCAGCCTAGCTGTCACAATTCCTCCTTCGACTCTCTCCCTCTCTACTCTCACACACTCCCACTACTCGTCTCATATATCAAAGGACTCAAGGTTCAAACGGGCGAATTTGACGTCTAGCTGTCATCACCGGAAAACAGAAACTTGCGTAACGCAACTCGCAGTCACGACAATGCGCACATCAAGAGAATCTCGAGGACAATCAGAGAAAATGTCAATAAAGACACTACCATACCCATGGAGGGCTGTTGTTGACCAAGAGTTTCTCTATTGGCTTCTTCTGGTACTCGAAAGAAACATTTTGCACCAATGAAAGTGAAAATTATCCCGACAAGTGGAACCGTGGAAAGCCGGTAGTATTGTCTGATCCGCTGGTCATTTTCAAGATTAGTTTCACTTTGAAATATATTTACAACGATCACTACTGGTGTCCCAACAAAGAATATAAAGAAGGTACCTCTAGATGATGACAGTTTGGCACATGGCTTGAAGAAAACGTCAAGGATTCCAAGGAAGAACATAATAATAATAATAATAATTATGATTATAATAATAATAATAATAATAATAATAATAATAATAATAATAATTTAAACATATTTATACAGGATTGCTGCTTCAGTTTAGGAAAGAAAACTGCTATCAATGCAGGTCCTGTTAACATAAACCAGTAGAAAAGTGCAGAGAAACTTGCGGCGATAACTTGAGATGCTGCAGCTGTTGAGTCGTGAAATAAACTGCTCTCATTAGCAAGAGTATAGTTGTCCTTGGTAGTGAGTGTAAATGCTGGTAAGGTTCAAAGTCATCTCAGGTTTGAAGTTTTACGATTCTTTCGAAATTTTCGTCGGGGTTACTAAGAATCGAAAAGCCGGAAGTCAATTATGAGCTCTTCCTCCGTTTTCATGCATGATCAAATGATAGTCCCAGACGAATTGATTTGATCTCTATCGTGTAAAAAGATCACTGTTGCCTTCTGAGAATTGCTGCCTTAAGTCGGGCGTTTGGTTAGGGCCTCAAGTTGTTGGATCAAACCCATTGTCTAAATATTAAGTTGGAAATTTAGTTTGAAAGCGAAATTTTCGAGGTGTAAGGTGTACGAAACAATAAGATAGACTCTGGTAAATTTTTCTTTTGTTTTCTATTCTTTTCAATGTAATGTGAGAATAAAAACCGAACAAGCAAAACAAAGATTTGTGACGCAGATCTGTCAACGGTGGAGGCCAAGGGTTGCTGGTTTTTCGCCATGTAATACGGTAATGATGCCCTTGTTTTTGCGCTGCACTATTATTAAATGAGCTTAATTCGGTGGTGCAGACCGAAGCACGAAGGAATCGAGGAGTCCTAAGAGGAAAGATAGTCACCTGAATGGATAGCGCCTGTGGGACAAATGAACCTGGTCAAGTGCAGCTCTCACACGGACGTAAAGCAGATGGCTCAGAGCAAATCATAGGGGCGTAGTTTCAGCATTGACCTGGAATATCCCAAAGATCTAGTCCTGTTTGGAGGAAAAAGAAGATTTGATGATAAGTTCTCGCGATTTAGAATAAAATTGTATACAGATGCTATCGAGACAATCTACTCGTTGCTTGTCTGGATCTGTCTCTGGCACCTCGATGTTTCATAGTGCATTGCATTTTCGATACCCTCCACGTGGCTTTGCGGAGTCGATTCTTGGTGCCACTCTATTTCTTAGGCCCACAATATCTACTATAAAAATTCCGAGCGATGCATGTTGTTGCACTACGGTCGCCGCTTTCTATTCCTTTGATACTGTCTCGGGTTTCGCTCTTACATAATTATCAGGGATCATTATCAACTCTTTGATACGTTGGCGATCATGGTGGTCTAATAATCAACCTTCTTTTACATAATGAAAAAAAAAAAAAAAAATTCCAGACTACGGTCCTGTGAATCTTCTCCCAGCCTGAACCTTCATGTTTCGTTAGACTTATTAAAAAACATTGATAAAATAAAAAAGCTGATCATAATGCTCACATATCCCGACTTTTGTTTTTACTTAGTCTTCATGTCTGTGCATGTCGACAACCTAAGATGAGAAATTTTACTTATTGAATAAACAATCACCTTTTCATGTGAAATACCACAGGAAGGAAAAATGGGAGCTTCCACTGTTGGTAACGTCCAAGAACAAACATGTTTGCATATTAGTTTCCTCGATTTTTCAACCGAAGAAGCCGAGGTAGTTCTATTAAGACACTGAGTTATTAGGTAGCTGAATGCCCGGCTTCCCACAAGACTCTGCTTATGCTAGTTCAGCCCATCAAATCATCGGAAGAGGTGTTGCATAACCTGAGATGGCCGTTGCGTTTCTCTCGCGTCCATTTATAACCAGGCGATCCATGTAGAGAGTAAGACACTGCTCCTGTATTGATGGGGTAGAGATTCAAGTCCACACTCAGAGTAGCGGTCAAACACTGCAAAGAAATTTCTACAAGGCTACTGGGAGTAATGAGGACTCAGTCTGCCGCGCCAGGAAGCACCGGTACCACTTGGACACGAGCAATCAACCAGTTCCCTTTTCTTTATATTGGCCGCGCTCTTTACATTGATAGACCTTTCTGATAGTATACGAAGGAGATACCAGTTGTGGTGATTTTATCAGCAGCAAGCTTACTGGATAGGTAGGGGGTATAATATCGTGCATCGCTGAACGTGCTGAATTTCACGTTTATTTATTTATTTTTTTTCAGATAGCTTTTTGTGAAAGTCTATAGACCGATTTGTCAATTGATCGTGGTAGGTATTCCTACTTGAATAACTCAGTTATTTTGCGCCTCGGATCATAGTTAGAAGAAGGAGCGAAGGAGACCAGGTTTAGTGGGCCTCCGCCGAGAACAGCTGACAAGGAGTCTGGAGCTTGGACTTCCCTTGATTCAATTCGACCGTGACATGTACGTGACACGAAGGGTTTATGTTTTACGTTTGTTTGTTGATGTTTGTCCGAGGAAATCTGCATCGAGTTTGGAGAACGGTATTAGATCCCGATAAAGTTCAATCTTGCGAGAGTGAAAACTAGAAGACATCGTTTTCATTGGTATGGAACGAAATTTCGGGGTATTTTCAGTGTCGGTTCGGTTGGTTCGCGTGACTTTTCGCCAAAAGCATTTCGTCAGTTATGGGTGTGATCGTATATTCTCTAAACGTTTTTACAAGCTCCCGATCGAGATAATGAAGAAACAGTGGAGAAAATTAACCGACATTAAGTCACTTGAAGATTGGTAAAAAAAAATTGTAGAAATTTCTGGGGTCTCATCGGGTACAGGTATATTTGGAAGCTAAACATGGCAATAACCAAAGAAAATGTCAACTAGCGGTAGTGGTAACGCATAGCAAATATTGTACCCTTAAGTGGGAGATTAAGAATCTTTTTTGGGAGCCTGAGAGATTTGAGCCTTAACTGGCCTGGAAACTCCCAAATGAACTTGAGGAGTTGGAATAAACGAATCATTTAGTTAACAAAACCCCAAAGATTCTTGAAGCAACAATGACTGCCATCTCTAAAGTTCTAGATCCCTTGATTAGGAACCACATTCCTCTGCAAAGGCAAAGCAGCTATCCAACCGGGCCAAAGTGGCAGCAAATTGGGATCTACCAGTAAATCTCCATGCATGACAAGGGTACAGAGTTTTAAATTTATGCTATAATTTATTGTCAAAAGATGGCTGAAAAGAGACCTGCTTCTCCACCTCCTGGTTTTGATAAAGTGGAAGAGGATACATGGGAAGGTGTAAAGAATCCTCAACGAAAAAAACCTGTTAATGGTCATACAGGTGTGTTTGCATATCACTTTGATGACTGCATGTGTGGAATGGCTGGCTGGCCATGTTGTCGGGATGGAACCATATGGAGTTGTTGTGGAGAGACAGACAAGTACTGCCGCTGCACAAAGAAAAATAAAAAAGCGGCAACAAACACACAGGAAAAGAAAAATTAACTGAATCATTCTCAGGTCTTGAATTTAAGATATACATGTTATTTGGTTTTTTCTTGAAGAAGAATTGATAGCAGAGAACTCAATCCAGCCATAACAAGATAAACCATTTAGTTTCCTATTTAATGAGTATAATGAAATTTCCTGGGTCAGAACATGAATATGGCAATATCACAACATCAGCATCAATGAAAAGAGGTTGACTGGAGATCAAACACTTTATGACTTGACATGACAGCCTCTCATCTTATTGATGAAACAGTTTAATCATGAGTATTGGCCCAGTAAAAGTGTTAAGAAGCTCAAAGCTGACATGTTCTTATTTTTAAAGACATCCACTGTTTTCAGACAGAGATGAAAATTTTGATAATAGCTTTAAGTAGACTTGATTCAAGACTTATTTCATAGAAGAGAGATACCTGAGCTTAGCCCTTGTGAGGGAATCTGCCAAAGTAGTTAAAAAAAATGCATCAAAATGTAATAAAATATAAAATTTTTTCTCAGAAGTGTGACTACTGACTAGTCTCCTCTGCTAGAGAAGGAGGGAAGGGTTGTGTGACATCCCAAGCAACAACCAAACCAAGAGGTAAACAGCATTACTTAAATAGCCCTGATGGTAAAGTCAGAGGAATGAGCTTCAAAAGCTTCCCATTGTGTTCACATTTTACGACTCCTCCTCAATTATTATCAATACATTATCAGCTGAAGTGGCACATACAATACAATACAGTGTTCTTTATTTCAAGAGGGTAAATACATGATTAACCCAGTAAAGAGTTTTCTAACACATGGCCCTCTGTAAATAAACCCACCCATCCCACCCCAGGGGAGGACATCCATCACACAGTAATCTCGTGTGTGGGAAATTAACGTCTCCTACCCCAACCCTGCAGGAGACAGGACCTCCATTTATTCATCCCTATCTGAGAAGACTAGAATATCTATCCATTTCTTGATGTTATAGAAAGGCAGCAAATTCTTCTCAATTATTTTAAGACCCTGAGTGTTGGTCCGGCCGGGGCTCGAACCCTCGACCTCCTGCACAACAATCCAGCACTCTATCCATTGAGCTAACCGGGAGGCGGTGTCATGAGTGTCAATGTCACACCAACTTATCTACCTTTCAAATAATTCATTAATTTTAGAGGAGAGAATTTACACTCAGATCTCAGGTGTTAACCAATCCATTCTCAGGAATGACTGAGAGGTAATTTCTTATAATCAATGCATTTTCAATCAGAAAGGTGACAAGAGTAACAACGAATATCAACTAGCAGATTTTGTTTATTTAACACCAAATTCTCAGTTTAAATTTTAAGAAATGTACGATAGACAGTGTGGAGAATTGAATAATGGGTGAAAGTTTCTAAAGAAAGTGCTAGGGGGTAACAAGGTAATTTGGTTATATCAACCAAGTTGAAATTGTAAACTGGCCACCGCAAAGAGTTAAAAAGCTAACGAAGGGCTAATGCTTGAAACATCAGCTTTTTAATTTAAATTTAAATTCTTTATGGTGTCCAATTCACAATTTAAACTTGGTTGTTATAACCAAATTACAGTGTGGAGAATTGATAACTAGATCTTGGGAGTTAAATATGCTGATAGAGAAGTCTAACCAAAGTGCTACCCTGGTTTAGAATCAGCTGTCATTGTTTACATTAACACTCATCCTCCAAATCATTTCCTAGTAAAAGATCTCCAGTTATCATCCATCAATGTTTCGGGAAGCATGGAGTCCACAAATAGCTTTCCATTAAGATGATCAACCTCGTGTTGAATCAATCTAGGTGGCCATCCCACAGTCCTCCACGTGACAGGCCGAGCTTCTCTATCAAGTGCAGAAACTTCGATTTCTTTAGCTCGTGGAACGAGAGCCGAATAGCCTTTTAAGCTAACACAGTTCTCGCGTAATGTAACTAAAGTAGAATCAATTATTTTGTACTTAGGGTTGATTAAAACTGTCGGAGGAATCTTGACAATTCCAAACGTTTTGATGTCTTGATCGGTAACATCTGCTTCCTTCAACTCTTTGATTTGCTTGGCGGTTTTTTCAAGAGCAATCACTCGAAGTCTTATTCCAATCTGTGGCGCAGAGATGGACGAAACGTTAGCCTTTCTCATAACTTTGAACATTCGCTCTACCATCTGCTTGAACTCGGGAGAACGAACAGTTGAGATGTCCACAGTCTCTGCCCGTTGTCGAAGTGTAGGATCGCCGATTTGTCGAGCCTGTAAGCCGTCTAGTTTGAGGAGTTTCCTGATTGAGCTAGGAATCCATTTTGAAACTTGTCGAGCTTTGATAAGATGTGGAGCGTAAAAAGATCCTAACTGATAAAGATTCGTGAGAGAGAGAACCATAACCTTAGGAAGTTTGGAATAAGCTGCACGCATCGATGGCTTCCCTTGAGCCAGCGGTTTCTTGTCAACTTTTTTAATGTACGTTATGTATGAGCATATACAGTGTACTCATGATTTGAGGTGTGTGGGAAGATAGGGTCATAAATTCCTCCTATCTCCCCAATTTCTTCCAAATGGGGCTATGGCTCAAGTGGCTAAGAAGGAGCAGTGTTTGGAGAGAACCATTTTGAGGGGCTGGAGACCTGTTCATATCAAGGGGAGCAACCATTATCAAGGATCCCAACACCTTTAATGAGTAAAAGATAAACAGTTTTACCTTTCAATTGTTCTCAATGCAAGGTAAGAACAAACTAAATGAAGTCACTCAGAACTATGAAGACTGATGACTTTTCAATTAACAATGAATCACAAATCACCAGAACATCTTTGTTCAACTCATTTGAAGAGGAGGGTGCAGTCAATGCCACATTTTAGTTGAGAGTAACCAATAGCAGTTTCACTCCAGAGGAGAGAGAGATAATTTCTTTGAAAAAGAAGAAGAATTTTCCATTTGTTGCAAAGGCACTGAACAACCACTTGACAAGAATTCAACAAGGCCTTACCACCTCCCCTGCACCACCCCAAACAGACTATTTCCAGTTAAAACGTTCTGAGGCAATAAAATCCACTAATACATTCCTTCCCCTGGCAGAGGGGGCTTCAAAAAGTGGGAGAAAGAAATACCAGAAAACAGGTATTTGTATGATAACTCATAGAAATTAAATAACAGAAAACAGGAACAGTGTTAAGCAGTGGCCACATGACAGTGAAACCCTTTATTAGTCTTAAGTGTATTCAACAAGGTGTCCCATTAAAACCTATTAAGGAGGGTTTGGAGAAGTACTGCAGAACACTTTCGATTGAGGGCAGCTAGTCCACCTTATGACACTTAAGGGTAAGGATGGTTTGGTTGTAAAACCCGTGATATATCTGGACCTCAAGTGTTGATTGTAGGCAGCTCTTATACCCTCTTTGCATCTCCATAATTGGACATCTGTAAATCAACAGGAATACAAGAGAAATAACAGTTTCATAAATTGAGCCTGTTAATGTATCAGTGACAGCATAATTTGATGTCAGTTCTCAAACGTTTGGCCAACTTGTTCCATATAAAGCAATGAGTTACCATTGAGTTCTGAATAAAAATGAAAACTCTATCCTTCACAGGTGCAGTCTTCCACTCCCAGGGTCCTTATATAACCAGTGCTAACCATTATTTTAAGAGAAATGAGAAAAAAACAGCTGCAAATTAAAACTACTGTAAATAAACTCTTGAATCTGCTGTGGAAAGCAAATTACCAGCAAGAGCCCCAAACTTGCAAACCCCTCCCTGTCTCAAATGGTATTTCCCTTAGTAAGGGCAGGCTACCAGTAACCATGTTTGTAGTTTCTTGTTTGCTTGTCACTAGAAACAGAGCAAACAGAGAATGGATGAGAGAAAACTGCTGCAAACAACCACTAAATATTTCACCTTGTTTGTATGACTTTTTCCATTAAATCATGGTCTGTGTGAAACAATGTCAGAGGAACAAAAATTGGAAAGGGGTTGAATCTAATATAAGCACAACCCCATTAGGTAATAATTAGCTAAACCCAGGTCCAGGAAGGGGCAGGGGAGGGGGGGGGGCATGCTCACAAAAATCTTTCTAGACTAATATGAGCTAATATCTGTATTATTTCTGAGTGTAATTTCTCCAATCGTTCTTTTGAAACGATTTATATAGCATGGAATCAATAAAGAGATTTCCCTTTAAGTGATCAACTTCGTGTTGTATGATCCTAGCTGGCCATCCCATAGTTCTCCAAGTGACCGGTCGAGCTTCTGTATCAAGCGCAGAAACTTCGATCTCTTTTGCCCGAGGAACAACTGCTGAATAACCTTCAACACTTAGACACCCCTCGCGGAACGCAAGTAGAGTTGGGTCAATTGTTTTGTACTCAGGGTTGATAAAAACTTTCGGTGGGACTAAAGCAATCCCTAGGCGTTTTAGTTCTTTATCCGTTGCTCCCTTGTCTTTTAACATTTTGATGTGTTTTCCAGTAAACTCCACCACGATTACGCGAAGTCCAACTCCAATCTGTGGCGCAGCGATACCAAAACTTTCCGCCTTCCTCATAACTTTGAACATTCGCTCAATCATTTGTTTGAACTCAGGGGAATGTATAGTGGTGATGTCCACTGTCTCTGCTTCCTCCCGCAATATGGGATCGCCTATTTGTCGAGCCTGCAGGCTGTCAATGTTAAGGAGTGTTCTGATCGAGCTGGGAATCCACTTTGAAACTTGGCGTACTTTGATACGAAGATTAACATTAGAGCCACCTAGCCTAGGTAACTTAGAGGGTGAAAGAGCCATAGTTTAGAGGTGAAATAGACGGACTTTCAGCGGTTTCTTCTTTTAAAGGGGCATTTGGTTGGACGCCAGTAGGGACAGGGTTAAACAGAAGTTTCTTTTAGGGGTCCAGTTAATAGTGAATCAGGCTGATACTGAACAAAGCCTGTCCCTTAATTCTCCTAATTCATTGTTCTTTTTTCCTATTAAATGAGTTAAAAAGTATGAGATTCTTCTAAATTTGTATAAATGAGGAATAAAGCATGGTGGCTTCTTAGAGGGATGGTGACATATACAAACTACGCCCCTCCCCCACACAGGTATTTTGTGATTTGTGGTCACTCCTCGATGGGATCAAAACATGGCGACACATCCTTCGACTTTTTACGCGCTTAGTGATGTTAAGCTACCTGAGAGAGTTGTCCTTTGGGACGAGACTGAGGTGGCAGAAAAACAGATTGAACAAGTCGGTGCGTCGGCTTGTGGAGCTACAGCAGTTTTAAATGTTCTGGTAATAAGCAGTTTAATCGTGCATCTATATATATGGCAGTGATATTTGTATCGGAAGATCACTGTATGAAGGAGCATTTAGTTACCGTGCATGTAGACAGAGCATGTCTGACTAGTAAGGTCAAATTTTTAGGTTTAAAATTTGGCATTTGTAAAAACTGAGCCTTTGAAAGGGAATTTTTCTCTGCTTTTAATAATACTCTTTTGACCCGACAAAAAAATTAGTTGCACCGCGTACATAATAATACCCGAAATTTAGATTGTCATATGGATGTGTTAAACCGATAACAGAAAATTTCTGATGATTGATTGATTGTTTGAATTATTGATTGTTTCTAGAAATTGCTTGGAAGATCTGCATCAGTGGATGAGGCAGATAGCGCAGTAAAAACCAAGCTAAGAGATCTTGAAGCTCCTTTGCCACAATATCTTCTGTCTCGCAGTGTTGCAGGAACAACACATGAAGATCTCATCGAGGGTCTAGGTAAACTGACCTGTAGAGAAATTGTTGGAAAGTTCTTTCACATGTACCCTGAACGTAACTTTGACTTGGAAAATTGGCTGAAATATTGGCTCATAAATGGTGCCATACCTATAGCAACCCTAAATTGTCAAAAGGTACCTTTAAGTGATGGAACAATACCAGATGCTTGGCATCATCAAGTTATTTGTGGTGTGAGCAGCCGTGGGGTTCAACTTACAAATCCAGTGGCAGTGTGCCCCTTTAATGAAATAACAAAACAGCTATGCAGTGAATCTGTTCTTCTCATTCGCCGACATGACATTTTACAGCGATGGAGTAACACCAATGACTATTCTTCTTGGAACTCTGATGGAATAAATCAAAGATGGATGGAATTGAAAGTCCAAGAGCAGATTAATCGCATGGTAAAAGAAGAAACACTGCTTCTACTTCATGGAAGTGAAATTAAACATAGAGAGCTGTTAACAACACACATCACCATTCCTGCTGCATACAAATCAGGGATCACTCTGTTTGCTCTAAGAGATTCTAACACACATCGACTTCTAGAAAACACCACTGAGCTTCCTATTAAGCTTACTTATAGGGAAAGAGATATTGGAGAACAATCCTCTGTTGGGGAGATAAATCTGAGTATCAATGTGTGATGTATGCTGGAAACTATCCAAAAAAAAAAAGACAGACACTAATGTGGGGCCCTGATTGTAGACTGTTGCTCGAGTGTCTACAAAAAAACAATCTAATGATAACAATGGAAACAAAAAGAACAGAAGTTGTCAAGCATGACACAATTTGACACACTGTCAATAAATGCTGGTGATTTTTTATCACACACTTATTTATTATTATTATTATTGTTATTTAGTAAGGTGATATTTCTTGCCAAATCTTTCAATAAAGAATGTAAATTTACTACAGACACAATAATTATGCTCTGTTGAAATACAAATTAGAAATTCTTTTAAATATAGGTGAAATAATTACTATCGTGCATGATTTGATACACATGAATGAAGTCAACATGTGTTAGCTGTGAAAAAATAATTTTTTTTAAAGATGCTCCTTGCAAAATATACATAACCAAGATTCATGCATCTTATTATCTAAAGGATGTGTGTATATAGCAGAGCTCTCAAATCCCATGCATTGGGCTTGAGACTCATACAAACAAATTCAGTCTCAGTACCCTCTTGCACTGAAACTATTGATTCTCGTGCATTTAAAACTTGTGATTAAAAATGCAGCATTAGTTAAGTACCTATAAATTTAATTACCTTTCTAAGTATAATTTGAACGCTTTCCAACAGCAGAATGCATGTCCTAGTAACTAAACTTTTTCTACAATTTTCTTGGGGAGAGTGCCCCTGTAGCACCTGACTCCAAAGCAGCCAGCATATCAACTTGAGCACACTAATAAAATTATACATACATTAATACTACCATTAAAGGTAATGCCAGAAAAAAATAAATGTCCATGTGCAGAGAGATTTAAATAAAGATCTTTGCTTTAGATTTTAACTGGTCGAAGCAGTGACCCCAATTATGACACCCAGCTGTGCCCAAGCTCCTCTGAGAGAGTGATAATTATATTCTGGAAATTAGTCACCTTGGGCCCTAAATCACGGGCAATAACTATCCAGTAAGACCTGAGTTGTCAGAAATATAAATGATAATTTATGTTTTATATAATCAACGACTGCTTTTTAAGTTTTGAAAAGGGTTTATTCATAACAAACCACCTAAGTTACAACGACTGTTATATCAGAGAGGCACGCTTTGTCAAGCCCTTGTCCGCCCTCGTTACTTTTCAAGAACGAGCTTTGACCAGCGGCATTACCATAAGCCACTTAGATTATTGTATAGTTTTCATCAGAAGGCATCTGAGAAAAAAGGCAACTAGAGATGATAGAGTGGGTTATTATTGCAGTTCTTGCTTGTGCGTTGAGCCTTTTGCTTATTGACGTTTTGAATAAGAAGAAAACTGAGATCGATGGAGCTCATACTGTGGTAAGCTTTGATACATTTTTTGCAAATTTCGACGGAAACTTTGGAAACGTGAATAGAAAGATCGCAAAAGTTCTCTATTATCATTGATCAAGTGTTTTGTCTTCTGTTTGTTTCAGGTAACTGGCGGGTCAAGTGGAATCGGAAAAGCCTTAGCGATTAAACTGGCCAAATGTGGAGCCAATGTGACGATTTTAGCTCGAAATATGGTAAGGTTTTTGTCTTGTTTGTCTTCGATCATCATTCGCGTTCGCATTGTTGATCTATGCTGATCATCATACGACTCTCAGTCCGCGTCGTGATATAGGGTGACTCATAAATGTATATTGTAAAGAATAGTAAAGCAAAATACAGAATTAGTTACGTTTTTACGACGAGGCTAATTGCCCCAGGAAACTTAGTTCAGTCCAGATACTGTCGCAGGGCCGGACCTTACAGCACCCCTCCTGAGGACCACACCCCTCCCTCATAATTTCATCACAGGCATAGCTACAGCGACAAAAGGATTGAGACACCTATTTTTTCTGAATTTTAAGCAAGTTGTTCTTCTTGCCCATTAGATTCCACTCCAGCCAGGCCCTCTTCAGAAATGATGTGCTTTCTTTTTATCACTAACAGTGACTTTGCTTTTTTACTCAAGATTGAATAGAGGGAGGGGTAAGGCAAACGAGAAGAATGTATTATAAAAGAGAAGAGAAAAGTAGATGTTTTTATTACCATATTTTTTTAAAAAAAGTGATTGATCTTGTTTTGTTACTGATTGTAGCCTATTGTAGGAGGGTGGGAGGGGTGGAGGGGATGGGGATAAAGGATGCCGGTCTCACCCCTCCCTAACAGGAAAGAGTGATGACATATTCATTATGGTTAACAACCTTTTATACCCCCAATTACCTCTAAAATGCAACTGGAGGGAGGCTATACCATTCTTGGCACTGAAGGCTTTCCAGGCCTTTAACGCTACCCTCCTGCTAAGATAAAAACTACTCTTTCTAGCTAAATCCTGGCAATTCTGTAGTTTCTCCAAAACTGATGTGAATGTTTTGTCAACTTGTTCATCCAAGCCTAAAACCATGATTTCTCTGGTGGTGATGAGAATGTTAATATTTATTTTTAATTACTTACCTTATCAGAATAGACTAGAGGAAACAGTAAAAGAAGTAAAGAAACACCTAGCTCCAGAGAGGAAGGTACCAAAATCTCTCCAGTACCTGACTTCATCTGTAATCTTGAAGACTTGCTTCATGTGTCAGATATTAATGAACTTGAACTTCTCTTTCTACTGCTTGCTTATTGAAAGTCTGTATATTTCAAACCAAAAGTGTATTCCAATTCAGGTTTTGGCTCTGTCTGTGGATCTTATTACTAATGCACAAGATGTAGAAAGTACTTTAGATCAGGTAAGTGCATCCTCTTACTGATAAAAGGAAAAATAATACTAAAATAAATGACTTTTCTGTTCAAGTTATGCTACTTTATATTTTTAAACTACCATAAGGTTACCTTGACTCACAGAGATATGTCAAACATTTTGATGATATTGATGTTAATGAATTTATAAACACAAAACAGGCACTTCCCTTATGTGACCGAGGCAGGTTCTGATGTTGTTATTTGAACAATGAGACAGACTTATAGCCACAATAAAATCTATTTATACAGGAAAGTACAAAAGAAATAATACTGATAAAAAGAAAGGGTGATTGCAAGTGAATCCTCAGTAAAATAGGTCACTCACTTGAGGTTACATGCACTGGAGTTACTTTTTCTGTGACCCAGAGGTTCTGAGCTTGTAAGTGCTGGTCTTGACACTCTGAACTACTGAGTTAAACTAACTGTACTTCTTTCATAAGGAATCGAACAATAGCAGGAAATTCTCTAAAATTTTGGAAGTTAGGTGTGATTATTCTAAAGGAAATTTATGATGCAAATCCTGTGTGTATGATAATTTGGTTATCATAGGAAATAGTTAGGTGTGATGGTGCGACTTAAAGGAAATTTATGATGCAAATCCTGTGTGTGTGTGATAATTTGGTTATCATAGGAAATAGTTTCTGAAGATGTAATTCTAAAATTATAACAAAAAATATTGCAATGTCATGCACAATTGTGAGCCTGGTCACACTTAGACTCTAAAATATTCAACCAATTCAAAGATTTAAACATTTTCATTCAAAAATATTTCTGTTACTGTTCAAAATTGTGATGATTTCTTTGCAAAGTTCAACTGATTTTACAATAGCTGTGCGCAATAATCATGTTCATCTTTATTGTGAAACTGACATTGCACCTTGACCTTGATCTAATGCTTTGTTTGAGTATTTGTGTGAGTGCATGTGTGCTTGTATATCTAAGTGTGAGAGTGAGTGTATTGACACGTGACTGTCCACCTTACCAGTCTGGTTATTTGATTGTCTTTCTAATAATAAGAACATAGCATGTTTTTTTTAGGATATCCTGCATCCTTATTTACTTAATTTTCTTAATGATTACTTATTTAACTTTATAATATTGTAAACTGTAGGTCAAGTAAAAATGTGTTTTGTTTTGTTTGTTTTTGAAATTATGACATATCCATGGGTATAATCCCAGGTCAGTCATTTTCTTTTGTGGCTAACTGATGATGTTGGTTTGTTGTGCAGGCATCTGAAGCCCTGGGCCCAATAGACATTCTTATCAACTGTGCTGGCTTTGCAGTCTGTGGCTTGTTTGAGGAAACTTCAATTGAGGATTTTAAGGTTGAATTTGAGACTACAATTTATCATCAAAGATTTGTCTGATGTGATTTTCAAGAAAGTGGAAAAGCCTAAGTTTGACAGCTTTCATTATTTAACCTTGTCTCATGGTTTCCCATGGCATTTATCTTCTTCAGTGGCAGATCCAGGGGGGGGTCCGGGGCGTCTGGACCCCCTCCACCAGACCTGATGCTTACAACTTTTAGACTGAAACTCTTACGTTGACAGGATTGTATATCACTTTTTAACTCGCTGATTTTTTTAATGAATCCAAGTAAACAGTAAGCAGCAAAGGAATTATAACGTGCAACTGCGACTGGGGAGAGGGGGTGTGGGGGGTGTGGGGGAGAAGTAATTTGCCTCAAAAGAGCCCAACAGTCCTTTCTGAACCAAAGTTTGGACCTCCCAATCAAAAATTCCTGGATCCGCCTCTGTTCTTTCAGTCAATTTGAAGACTTAAAGATGTCAAGACTAGCATGGGTTTGCTGAATTTCATTAAATATTTAGTGATTTGAAAGAAAAAAAGGGTTATTTTTTCTACTTTTATTAATGAACACTATTTTAAAGTTTCTCCCTCTTATTTATTGTGGCAGGAACCTTTCATTTTAGATTTGTACACTTTTGGCAAGAAAGAAAAAAGCTAAATACTGTGCAAAATTCTGTGAAATTTTACAGGCAATGATAAACACAAACTATTTGGCTAGTGTGTTCACAAGTCATGCTGTTGTGAAGAAGATGAAGCAGAGGAGAAAAGGTCACCTTGTGTTTGTATCATCAATAGGAGGGCAGGTACATGATGGCAGGGTTGAGTTCTAAAATAATATGAGTTGTGGCAATATCATGACAGTCAAATACTTCACAGCTCCCTCTTTGTTGAAATTAAACTTTCTTAAGTGCAATTGAGACATTTCTAACTAATTTAACTGTAACTTAACATTATATATATCCACTGGCTACAATTACAGACCGAGTTAACTTTATTATATCAAAATTAAAAACTAAGCTTTCTGGTCTTAAATAAATTATTGTCTTTCATTAGCCAGGTCACTTCACTCAGAGATCCGTGTTCATACCTGATCCATGCATCTTACTTTATTTTGCTTCTTCATGTACATGATTAATTAACGTTATTTTTATTCAATGTCTTCCAGTTTGGTATATTTGGCTTTACTGCTTATTCACCTTCCAAGTTTGCAGTTAGGGGTTTTGCAGAAACGTTGTTTATGGAGGTATCTAAGTCCTATGTTCTTTTCACTGAGGCATGCCTCCTATTTAATAATCATCTATATCAAGTAATTGTTCTATGATTGATTCCTTAATTGTTATGTGGGTACAATGAGGAATGTATGACTCTTTGATGGAAATGCATTTGCCTCAAGGTTAGGGGAACTCTGGAATATACAGGGATTGAATTACAGGCTCCACTCTAGTACGTTTCACTGTGGTCTTGAGTGAGGCAATGTACTCTCGTGGAGCTAATTTCCTTTCCTGGAGAATAAATGGGTAATGGCAATTAAACTTGACAAAATACAGTTAGGTACTTACATTTCTCTAGGTCTCCATGAAGCTAATACTTTTGAAGCAACAAAGATGAAAAATTTCCGGCAGCCTTTATAACTTAATCAAGTTTGCATAAAATGTTTGAGCTAATGTGTGGGAGCTCAGTGATCTTTTGTTTTCATCTTCTATTTTAGCAATAGGTTTTGCTTCACAATGGTTTGATAAGGCCCTCAGCTTATGACTCAAAAAAGTTATTTTCCCTCTGTTTGGTTATTTGCAAGCTATAACCCCGGACAAAACTGTTGAGACATTTCAATGCAATTTTTAATTTCCCACCATGCAACAATCATTTCCAAAAGGAACAAACTTGCCCCCCTCCCCACCCCTGGTACAATGTTGTTGGGGCTTAACAGCTCAAGCATGGATTTCTTGTGATACCGCAAACAACATTGCAATAAGGGAGGGGGGAAACTGAATCTTTGAATTTGCGACGGCAAGTATTTTTGTCAGGGTGAGTGCAAAAAATAGGTATTTTTGTAATGTGTCTCAACAGGTTTTTTCCGTGGTTGAAGGTGGAAAGAGGAGATTGGCATTAAGTAAATCTTGGAGAAGTTTAACCTCCCTTAGCATCCAGCTCTTCTCTATTTTGGTAGGTGAAGCCATACAATATTGCTGTCTCTGTGGCCTTTCCACCAGACACAGACACACCAGGATTTGAAAATGAGAATAAGAACAAGGTAAATAGCAGAAACTGGCTAAAAAAAATATTAGTTTAGCAGACTTGGTGCCATACCCAATATGGCTTGAAGCTCAACTAAATATTTGACAATTAATCACCAAAGTGGAGGTATATAAATTATATAGTAGTGAGTATTTACTAAGCTCGCTGTGAAGTGGTAAGGTGAATATCTACCACTTTCACAAATACTAACTTAAAGGTGAATAAATGTTAGTTTTAATAAATTAATTATATACCACACAGATACCAAAAATTATTTTAATACTGTAAATATACCATAAAATGGCACCAATTAATATGTCCAGAAATGCATCCATTAACGTCCTTGGCAGATGTGACAAAATTTTTTGAAACCAAGTCAATGTTATTGTATTTGATAGTTTTGACAAATTATGGTCAAATTCATCAAAGCAGAATCAGGTTGGCAGATTTGACAATTTCAACCAATTTCTATTTTTGTTATTACCTCCATTTTTCAGTGCTTTCAATAAGATTTGAAATAGGTGGCTACCTCGGTACAGCACCCACCGGAGAGTGACTTGAGTGCGACTTGAGCATGGTGAAATATACCTGGCGACTCACAACAGAATGCCCGCCGGAGCTCCGGTGGATGCCGGGTCTTCTTGAAAGCACACTGATTTTTGCACATATCTCTAAAATGGTCAGAAATTAAACTTTTGATGGGAACTTCTATTTCTTCAGCTGCTTGAAGGTGAATAGCCCTTGCTATTCACTGCCCAACTAGCAAATCAGCATGCACAAAGAGCACTGTTCACTCGTGTGGTATATGCTAATTTTAATTTTTGTTTTTATATGAAGGAAACTGAAAAGCATGGATAACTTTACAACATACCCTTCCTATTGCATTTCAGCCTGAAGAAACGCATCTAATCAGTAGCTCAGGAGGTCTTTTCACCCCAGAACAAGTTGCAAGTAACATAGTTATAGGAATCAAGGTATGAAGACATGTTACATAATTATGGAAGATATTTGCTACAGTTCGTTTCCTTTGAAGACCAGTTATTATTTATCGTCTGGGAGGATGGAGGATTTTGAGGGGATCACATGGTTTTCAGGGGGAATGAAAGGGGTATCAGTAGTTGACACCAGAGTATAAAGTGGGGGGGGGGGACTATAGAAAATTGAATCCCAACGACAGGGTCGTAAGAATATTACAGATTTTTACATGGCTGTGTCTCACAAGGACTGGGAACTACCGAATTCACGAATTTGATTGGCTGAAATCAATATTGAAAGTGGTCTAGATTTTCCCATCTTGACCGGCATCTAGACCGGTCTAGAAAAAAAGGTACAAAGAATTTTAAAAATTGGCATATAAGACACAGCCATATAATAAACTTCTTATTAACTGAGCTAGGTCCGTCTGTATGGGAGAATCTCGACCTCGGTCGCTGGTACAGACCTCACTGCGTTCGGTCTGTACTGGCGACCTCGGTCAAGATTCCGACCTCCATCAAGACCTCCCGCTCAGTTAATAAGAACTAAATCTTAACCCTTTCACTCACGTAACTCCCACGAGTGACCAAGACAGAATTTCTCCTTACAATATCAATACAATATCAAGCAGACAAGTAATGAGAATAAGGAACAAAGAAAATCAGTGATCATCAGTTGATCCAATACTAATTTCTCCAAACTAACATCACAAGCATTGTATGGCAGACAGTTAGGAAAATTACTAATGAGATCTTGGGAGTGAAATGGTTAATATAGGGATCAGGTACATTTTATCATGACACAACCAAAATACTCCGAACCCACCGGGCGACGAATAATGACCGGCTCCTTACTGTCTAATGGGTGGCAAGACGATAACACGTAAGCAATATGGTCGATATCTTCTGGCTTATTTATTTCCCCCTCTTTAACAATGGTTATTACCTTCCAAGGTCATTATCTAGCCTGTGTACAGCCGCGCCAACCCTCCAAAAGAAAATCGGGAAGGGCCTCTTCTGATTTTGCGTTGAAGGGTAGGGGGCGGCTGTACCGACAGGCTATCATTATCCCGTATGACGGTTAACTCAGGCCTAGTGGCTCTGAAGGCAGGGTCTGCACCGAACGCTTTGTTCTGGTCCACCGTTAATTATCGGTTCTTTAACACGCAAAGAAATAAAATTACTAGGAACATGCATGGGAAAGCGGATAAATTATTCCACGAATCTGCTTTAAAGTTTGTTATGTTATTTTTGTCGGTTTATTGTTACACGTACTGAGTTGAAAATCTCCGACAAATTGTGATAATCATTTTTGTTGTCATTCAGGACAGACGATTCATTATATCATGTGGCTTTGATGGATATGTAGTGAGTACGCTGACAGCAGGTTTAGCTCCGATCTCTTCGTTAATGGAGCTACTAACCCAAGTACGTTGCTTCTGTACAAAGGTAACAGGTGACGTCGCCCCATTGCACGGTCGCCCCCAGTTCCGTTGCCCCTAAGGGAAGTTCCGTCTCCCCAAAATATGGTTGGGTCGACCCCAACTTGAAGCTGCGTCGCTTCCAACTTTTTGCCCTAGTTTATTTAAGGGTCTAAACGTTCTTTGACGTAAGTTTAAAGCTTGGCGGTTCAATGGCCCACGTATCAAAACCTTCAACCAATGATCGCAATGTTGCAACGGAACTTCACTTTGGCCGGGTGACGGAACTGGAGGTGACCGTTCAAAGAGGCGACCTCACCTTTTAAAACACCACTAGCAAATGGTGACGCTTAAGAGGAGCAACTCCTTTGGTACAGTATATTAAAGAAGGAAAAGAAGACGTATGTGAGAAACTTAAAGTCGTTCTATGAAATAGTTAGTCAAATGGTGTAATGTCATCCAACAGCTCGAGTGAGCTTCACAATCTTTTTGTGCACGATACTGAGCTGTGAGATTTGAACAAAATTAATAAGTTGACTAGTATCTTCTTTCTTCCCACAGGTTATTCTGATGGGACCACTCAGATTTGTGCTGGCGTTCTATCTGTATTATTATGATCGTATTGTATTTAAAGGGATGCAAAAGAGAGAACGAAGCAAAAAGACAGAGTGAAGTGACCTTACCTGGTCAATGGACAAAGTAAACGCATGTTTGAAATGCCTATAGCAGCATACCAGCCCAAGTGAGGGGTGGCGTTTTCCAGGGTTGACTAAAGACACCATGGAACGGAAATTAAGAACTTTTTTCCGAGTGTGAATCTTTTTAAGACTGAAATCGTTGTAATTGATCAAGTACGAGATTGGAAATCTTATTTAACAGTTTCAATTCGCATCAATAAAGGTACAAGAGTTTTTATTGCTGCTTTGTGGCTTTGTTCTCACTGTTGTGGCGGATTCATAGTTTCTAGCACTTTTCTCCGGTAAGCAGTGATTACATTGATGTACGAACTTGTACCATTTAGCTATGGCACACCTGCATTTTGTCACGAAAGGTTGAGCCAAGGTTTCTCGCAGTTGTGTACCGTATCGAATCTCTCTTTATATCTACTGTTTTATATTATCCATCGGCCAAAGTATTTACATATTTTGTATACTTATTGATATTTAGTCATTTCTTATGTTTTTTCTTTTTTTTGAATGATTTTATTTATTTGTAAATTTATTTGATTTTGTTTTTAATTATTTTTTCCCTTAAGATTTATGATTCTCTTTTTTTTTTCCCTTTGGTAATACAGTAAGCGTTCAAGGCAAGCAGACACATTACATCAACAACAATAGAAAAGTATTTCCACTTCAGTCCACTGCTTGTACGGCATTTCTAAAACTATTTCTCCAATTATGTCTAAGAACGATATCCTTACATGCTGCATACTCGAGCTGAGTCAGACAAAATGAGCCGCTCGTTTTATATGACCTGCGGTGTTTTTCCACGGCTGACTTCATCTTCATACTTTGTGCCCTTGGATCTTCGAGATTGTAGACTGCAGTGCCAGTGAGCATACTTTTAGTAAGGAAACGCTTTGTATTTTGTATCTTCGCGATAGGAGGGGGCTCTAGCATAGATTTTAAGTAAAAGGTGATAAAAGAGTGACAATAACGGTCGTTAGGTAGGCTTATTAAACACTGTGATTAGGCGAAATCGCACGCTAATTTTGGACAAACATGCTATTACTGAGACTAAATTTAACTTCTTCCCTAAGGGTTGAAAGTTTTGCATTCTGCGGTGTCTACCCTCAACCTGAATTCTAAAACTACGTTCATTCTTTCCTCTCTCGTCTCCGCATTTACAACTGTTACCTACAGGTGTGATAAATGCTGTAGCGCAGATTGAGGAAGACTGGAAATAAACAGTTTAATGCGGAGGAGGATGTTGGGGCGTGCCTGAAGTATTAGACCTTCTTGTGTGGCTATTTCATAACGGTTATTTATTTATTTATTCATCGACAATACTTTAGCAGAGATGCCTAGTTCAGCATATGCTGGTTTAAATGGGGCTCTGCATAAAACAAATTACAATACAATTTCATTTGATACAGTATAAAACAAATGTATAATATAACTACTAGAATATTTACATGTTACAAGTTAGTCTGTTTATGTACAAAAGATTTTCAGAATTCCGTATATTGGATGGTAGAGAGTTCTAAGTTTATAGATTATAGATATGTTGTAGAGTGAAATTTTGCTAATTAGAGACTCGAATTTTGCCATGACAGCTATGGTCCAGTCTTAACCCTTACTCTCGCAAGTGATCAACAAGTAGCTTCTCCCTTGGAAATCCTTACATTATCTAGCATACAGGTAATGAGAATCATGCTCAAACTTAGGAGCCGACCTTTTAACTTTTGAGGGGGGTGGGTGATTTCTGGTCATCAAGAAAATTTTTTTCCAGCAATCTGCAGTGCAGGATATTTTTTTCCGTTCTAAATGCTCTTTTTTTCTGTTACATTTGGGCTGCATGCAGTTTTTTCTTCCAACAAGCGCTTGCAGGAAATTTTTTTTCAAAATCACCCACCCCCTCGGCCCCCCTCAAGAGTTAAATGGTCGGCCCCTTATCAGGTAAAAGTTGTTATCGTGATCTAACATCAAATTCATACAACTAATTTCTAAGGAAATGTGTTGAGGAGAATTAACAATCAGATCGTGGGAGTAAAAGAGTTCATATCATGTTTTTGGTTCGATACTTTTTTTTTTTGTATAAGAGACAAATTAAACTCTTTTATCGTTAGTCTTTTTGTCGATGGTATTCCACATTTTTGGATTCTTTCCTAACGTGGATGATGTCTGGATGTCTCTTTTGATAATACTATTTTTTGTTTATTATTTTTCAACTGTATCTTACCCACGCAGCTAAAGAATGTTTTTTGATAAAACTTGATACGTGATCGTATTCAGGAAACTGCCGACCCTTTGATAATTTTCAGTGATCCCTGTCGATAAATTATGTAAAACTTAGTTCGAGCTTTATCTTAAACAAGCTAAGGGTTTCGAAAATACGAAGCGTTGCGACAAAAAAATTAACGTGTCTCGGATGATCATCTATGTTTTCTTCTCGAAAATAGATATATTCTAGTATTACCTTTATGAGCTAAATATAACCCTTACTAAGTAAACGCGACCCCACCCCTGCGGGCATGACCTTGTGGATGCGCAGCAAGTGTGCGCAGTTACGTGAGTTTGATTCAATTTTTGGAATGCAGCTTATTTTGCGCCACCAGTGGAACAGTTTGAAGCATAATTCCTAATGTCCAAGCTACTCAGAGGATCTAAGAAAGTACCTACACAGCTAGACCTAAGTATCATCGAAGTAAAATCAAAGGTAAACAATAATTTGCGTCGAATCTTTCATCATAAACCAAATCGTGCAAAGTAAAGCTTTGGAACTGTCGGTGTATGAGTCGTTAAGAAATTTATATCTTCTCTCCGCAGTTTGATGCAGAATTTCGCAGGTTTCCCTTGGATAAAACGCGGCTAACGTCGTATGAAGATTTCTACAAGCATGTGCAGGTGATTCACAAGTTACAATCCATTCCGTTCTCAACATGGTATACGGACATGCATGGAGACCTACTCCCAATAAACAACGATGATAATTTCTTGCGGGCTGTGACAACGGCAAGGCCGCTTTTGCGGGTTTTCGTTCAGCGCAAAGGTACGAAAAATACAACTAACTTAGATAAATTAAGTTTTTCTGTCGTTTTTTTCTCGCATTGGTAAATGTTAGTTTCTAAATTATGGCCTAAAACGATTCATTTCAACCTTGACAAGTTTCTAAAATCGTTGGTCTTCAGTTTAACTTTGGTCTTATCGGCTTAGGTTGAAATTCTTATCGTTCTTTCAAAATTTAGGTAGCAATCGAAGTCAGTATTAGTTCTTTGTCTTGAGTAATATGCTCTTTCGTAGACCAGACATGTTTCAGATATATTGAACCCATAAATGAATTTTCCAAGTTAAATTCAATTAAGACCCACTTTGATGTTGCAGTTTGTTGACTCAAAGGACTATTGAACCATCACTTCGTAAGCTGCTTTTGCTTTAGTTTTGACATGGAAGTGATGAATTTTGTCAAAAGTTGTGACAGGAAAGGTGTCACTTAAATTTCCATATTTTTTCCTTAAGAGTTTGTTTTTTTTTGCTTTAAGTTAGTCTAACTTTTACAACCAAAAGATGTTTCTGTGTGTTACTGGACCCTTAATTTGCGCACAAAAGCCTACTCTGTACCATAATTGTGGAGATATAGGGGAATTTCTGATACACATCGTTTGATTAGCTGGCCTTGGAGACATTTCATATTTGTGACATGGACCCTTATTTTGCCTTGACACAGTGAAAGTAATTCCTGAGCAAACACTAAAAGGTACCTCTAGTTTCTGATTGTGAAACCAATGGGGTCTTTTTTTCCATATTCTAAGCTTTCAGACTGAAGTTTTTTGTGTGTATGGGATTGCTTTTATTCATCCTAAAAATGTTTTGGGAATATCTAAGCTTACTCACCTCCTTAAAAATTGCAGTGTTAATGATTGGCCTCTCTATACTTAACTTCAGGCAGTGAATTTGTTCACCTTTGGATTTCGATTGTAGCATTTGCAAAATGTGCAAGTGATTAGAAAGCACTGTTTCCTGACAGTATTTGAGATGTCTCGGAAATCCGTCAGTGTTATAACTTTTAGGAATTTCATGTTATGGGAAGAGTTAAAATGAGCTGTGTGTTTTTTCAGTCCTTGAAAAATTTTTAATCACAAACTGATAGAAATTCATTGTGGGCAGCTTCTAATAGTAAAATATTTTGTCTGGCAATTAACCAACTTTTGCTGTGAGCATCTGATGAAAATAGATCAGTCATTGAGTGATAAGGGCGTGAGTTTTGTAGACAGAAATGGTACTCTGTTCATGTTTGAAATCCTTTAAAATCATTGGGAGGATGTTCAAATGTACTGAAATAGAGCTGTTGTACAAACATGAACACTTATGACATTCCTGGACAAAATATTCCGTGATGTTCTCCTGGAGTGAATGCAGGTACACAAATGCATGTTACTGTATGGATCCATTTCTAAACTTCTTTCTTACTGTGTCTTAAAATTAGACAGTGGTATTTTATCTTACTGGTAAGTAAAATACATGTAGATTTGGGAAGATGGGAAATTTTATACTTGGCCTTTGAGTGGAGAAAGATGTGAGGTATTTGTGAAGAGTAAAGTATAGGGAGATGCTTAATTGGGTGTGCTGTGAGCATTGAATCATATGTCAGGGAGTTCGGATTCTTGATTTCACTATTGGATGTTCTGAGACACTACAGCAGAAACTGGCAGCTGCTTGGGTCCTAAGCTTTTGATAAAAGGTTAACATTTTCCTACAGATACAAATGTAAGGTAACATTTTTCATTTCAGGAGGTAGTGTTCCTGAAGAGAATGCCTTACCCCCTGAAGTACCGAGGCGTCGAAACTTGTTATCTAATCTCACAAACCCAGCCAAATCCCATCTCAGTAGGATATCAATCAGTGGCCCGCAGGATTTCCGCCGAGTTTCTGCAATTGTTGATGTGGACATTATCCCAGAAACCCAGCGCAGAGTTAAATTATTGAAGCACAACACAGATAAACCACTTGGATTCTACATACGTGATGGAACGAGTGTTCGTGTAACACCTAGTGGACTAGAAAAAGTTCCAGGAATTTTTATTTCGAGGCTTGTTCCCGGTGGGCTTGCAGAAAGCACTGGTTTGTTGGCTGTAAATGATGAGGTTCTAGAAGTAAATGGTATTGAAGTGGCCGGGAAAACTTTGGATCAGGTGACAGATATGATGATTGCTAATAGTCACAACCTTATTATAACTGTGAAACCCTCAAATCAGTTCAACAATCCTGTGCTTGGAAGACTGAATCGCACTGAGCCAGATCGCATGAAATCACAAAGCCTTACAAACTTAGCAACACATTCTATTCATAATCCAGTAATTACTACAGGATCACCAACAATGCATCACGCTTACCACAATGAATTGGCCGAAGAAATCCCAGACAGTGACGAAGAAGACCACCCAACAGTCGATGAGGATGGCATTTTGTCAATATAATCATTTATCATTCCAAAGTCATGAAGGAGACAAATCTATGTAGAAATATTGTTACAAGAATATACGTGAATGTATAGTTTAAACTCAAGAGCAATTTTCTATGTGAGAGGAACTTTCTATGTTTTAGATTTAGATATTAAAGGACTATTTCTTCAAACAAAATGAACTGAACTACTGGTTATGAATCAAACTTTGATAAAGAAATCAACAATATTTTACTCATGTGATCAATACTTAAATAATTTTTTGTGAACTTTTTGAATAGTATCCTTTGTGTTTTTTATAAACCACTCAGAGACTTTCCACCCATTTGATATAGTAACCTATAGAGTGCATTTTAAAGTGTTGTTAGACCAATGCCAGTGTAATTAAAACAGCCAGTTAGGGGTAAGGAAAATATTGCAGGGAGATAATGAGAACAAAAATGCTTTATGTGCGGGAAAATGAGAAATGCCAAGGTGCAATTAATTTAAGTTTTGAATCTGGTTTGCTAAGCCTTCAACTCCCAAGATCTGATTGTTAATTCTCTCTAACAGCTACACATTTCCTTGAAAATTAGTTACGACAATTTGGTGTTAGATCAAGATAACTTCTTCCTGATGAGTTTGAGTATTCTCATTACCTGTTTGCTGGACAATGGGAGGATGTTACAGGGAGAAGTTACAGGATCGCTTGTGGGAGTTCAGGGATTGAGAGACAGATGGCACAAGTTTTCCAAGGCCAATTACAACACAAAGCATTCCTTGGTCACTTACAACACTCCAATTAAAATTTCCCTCATAAATTGATGTTTTCTTTTTGTATTCCCAAGGTGTCCTGTTTGAAACTCTTTAGCTTCCAAGATCTTATGATTTACTCTTTTTACTAAATGCTCTACATTTCCTTGTAAAGAAGTGAAGAGAATTTGGTGCAGTATCAAGGTAACAGTCTAAAGCTGATAAATGTGTCAGTTCTCATCACCTGTTTACAAGAAAGTGTAGTGATGTGGGGAGAATCTACATGTTAATCAAGGGAGGAGCTAAGTTGTTAAGGGAGGGCAATTGTAACCACTTTGCACAAGAATACATTTTAGTCTGCATTTGGTGTTAGATTTTAACAGAAAGCAGGTTGAAAAATGGACTATTTAGGCAAGCATGATTGCTCATAACTCATAATAAAATATTTAGGTACAATATTTTCAATGTAATGTAAAATACTATCCAGTGATGTTTCTTAGATAAGGTACTTTGAACTTTGACCAGTTCCACCCAGTGAGCGATATCTATTTCATTGCCTCAGCTTTTTGCACTATTCCTCATTAATTTTTAATCATTTTTTGATTGTCTTTTGGACAGTATATCTTTAATTGTTAAAACATTGTATCTCATTGATATAAGTTTGGAGGTACTGTAGTTAAATTTCGCTGAAAGAGTTGCGGTGTCATATATGAGGTTTTCCACTCATTTTATCTTTTTTTTTTTTTTCAGTGGCATGTTGTCTAAATGGCTCAGGAAGCTGGCAAAATGCTACACAACAAGTAGCATTGGTAGCCAGCTTCCTGCTTTTATGGCCAGAACATGTTAGGCAACAACTCATTCTAACAAAGTGCAGGTCATTATATATCAGAGTGAAGTGGTCAGTTTAAGAAATAGAAAAAGGTAAATACATAGGGGTCTCCAAATCATTTGGGATTTAGGGTATAAAATAATTATACATGGTTGGGAAATTTGACCAAAGCAATTGCATTTAGAATATACTGATGTTAGTTTTGTCATTTGAAAATAAAGATCTAAAACAGGCTTACAGAAAATTCTATTGTTCTTGTTGATGTCTTGTCAACTTTTAACGTAGTATTAAACATATCTTATTCGATGTTTTGTTGTGTAGTCTCACTGGGTATTTTTGCTAGTTGTGCCGTATTTTGATGAGCCCATAGGGTGAGTTAAAACACAAACAATAATGAGTGAAAATACTCCGCAATACTACACAACAAAATGTTTAATAAGAGATTTATCATCCAACAGGCCAAATTGTTATTTTGCAGATATTTCTGGAGTACAAACATCACGTGATATTTGTACTTGTCTTGCGCATTATTTGTTCTTTATGAAGCACATTTGGATAATAACACAACTTATCCCCTGAGTAGAGCTGTACCTTCCATCCACCCTATGTGTAGGGTTTAGAAGGCTCTTTAAAGGAGTGTGCAAGCAAACCAGCATACCATAACTTATCCTATCATGGTAATGATTTTTCACAGGTCGACAGACTTGAACAGTTAGTCATCTTGATATTACCTGTGTCTACACCCTTTAACTTCCATTTTTACTTCAAGTTGATAAAAATAATTATAAAAAAAGACTGATTGATCTTTTATTGAAAGCTGTGTAACTATGTCACAAAGATTTCAACTAACATTTATTTACTTTAGTTTATAAAAATAATAGTTTTCTCACAATGGTACAATTTGGGATTGTCGTCATGTTGAACATGTTATTGGGGGGCAAATGGGTTTTTTTTTTTTCAGCTGGCAGTTCAAGCTTATTTGGGTTGTGCCTAATCCTTCTAAATGTTTCTGCTATCTATCTGACAAGTTCCATTCACAGTTTCATAGAGTAATGAGCCAAGTAGGAACTGAGTAAAGCTAGCTTATGATCTTGATTTTCTTTGTATCACAGTTCACTGCTCACTGGACAAATGCTGTGCACAGGGCGGGTAGGCATGATCCCTTCCCTTAGGCATGGTCCCTTCTCTTATTCGTGTTTTTCTCATTGCCATGTTCCCACCAATCATGTAGCTCCTTTTCTGCCTTTAAAAGCACACTCAACCCACAATTCCCCTATTCACTCCGCTGAAGGGCTAACACTCGAAACGTTAGCTTTTATAAACATAACGGTGGCGAATTTACCATTTCAACTTTGTTGATATGTTCAAATTATATGGTCCCTTCAGTTGATGAATTGCCACTGTAAGGAAAGAGAGAGCCCTTGCACTTAAAAGTAAGAGAGAAATGGAATCTCAATTAATGGCTTCCAATCATGGATTGATTGCAGTTTAAACTTCCCACAGGGAAAACCTTACCATATTGAATTCAAGAATGCTGAGGTTCCAACAAATTAGGAATATCAAAAAGCGAGGATTTTGCATGTTATAAAATTATTCCTCCTTATTTCTGAACTTCCTGAATGTTCATAATGGAATCTCGCTGTTCTTGAATTCCATATGATAACATTTTCATCGATGAACTCATTGCTGCAATTTTCTGTTAAAATGAATCGTCAATTATAAATTCATCAAAAGAGTCTCTAGGGGTGCTTGATGTGCATCACTGTGTAACAGCTGGTTTCAATCAATCTTCAGCTGCTAAGACTGAGATCTAGGGCACTAGTTTTGCTCAACCATCGTTCAAAAGTCATACTGTATTGCCGCCCTGGTTCTTCTCGTACTATATCATCTCTTCTTTTTTCAATGCCTGGTAGCTCTTGCTTTTGTTGCGATTTGGAGTTTTTCCAGTCTTCAAAGCTTTTGCCTGCCATCCTTGATAATCTCTTGCTTTCTAACTCCATCTCTTTCCTTTTTCTTGCCTCTTTTTCCTTCTGTTGTTGTTGCTGTTTCTTAGACTTTTTTTCTTCAAGCCACTCATCAAATGTTGCAGACTTGGAACTGTCTCGTGATTTACTTAAACAAAGAAGGAAGAAAAAACTCAGTGTTCAGTGTGGCAAAAATTTTATTGTTCCATGATGAGTGTGTTCCTTTGGTGTTAATGTTGATATTGATGTGCACACTTGTTTTAAAGCACACATGTCCTTCTGGTAAATATAAATAAACAAAAATAAGAAAGAAACTGAACACCTTACCGACAAGACGACCTACATTTTAGCACAAAGCTGTTCGAGCTTCCATTTAGGGGACACCTACAGGACTGAAAAGTGTTCCCTGAATCCTGAATAGGAGTATCCTTTCCTTGAAAGATGTTGATAGGAACACAGAGGACGAAAGTTTGTATCATCTGAATAGAGGGTAATACAATAGAACTCTGCTTCCAATACCTTTCAACCCGAGACAAAAGCTGAGATACTTTGAAAGTAAGATAGGATTTAAACATCACGACATACCTGCTTGCAAGTCTTTCCTTGGACCTTATGTGTGGAAGCACTGCTTTCCCTCCCAAGCTGTATCGTGCACCTGAAAGGCATATCATACGGCAAGAGAACAATTTCAGTACATGATAAATCATTTTTTGTCGTTAAAAAGCCATTTAAAACCGACCTTCTTCTAGAGAAGAACTTATAGTGCAGTGTTCAAAAAATTGTTAAAAAAAATCACCTTCCCCAGGGGTGTTACACTTTGGTGCTATGTTATCAATAGTATTATTACTCTTACTTGAAGTGATGGAAAGCCTATCTATGCCATCTTACCATCAATTTCCACCGCTCCATCAATTGGAGGCAACTGGTGTTCGAGAAGATCAGAGGAAGATTGTTCAAAAAAGGAATCTCGTAGTTGGTTAGCTTCTCCCACTGGTCTTCTCCTTGGAGCACTGATCCCGGTCCCAGCAAACTCCCCCGGAGGCAAAGTTTGACAAAAGTACACCTGTGAATATTTCCCCTTCAACCATGTTGGAAAAGAAGAGTCAAATTGTTGATGCATCATAAGAGATTTACTCGCTCTCCTATGCTTAGTTTTGGCCGCTCTTGTCTGCCATTGAAATAAAAATAAATGTCTCTCGCTGTCCTTAAAGCCCCACTGACTCGCTATAGTCAGGGCAGACTTGCCTTGGACATCAATTTCGTCCATAGATGCTCCTTTTTCGAGCATCAGATCGATCGTGTTCGAATGTCCCTGCGAGGATGCAGCATGCAGCGGTGTACGTCCAAATGGTGTCTTCATGTTTACATCAGCTTCTCCATAATCTATCAAACTTCTTATTAAGTTAATTCTGCCTCGATGGGCGGCAATAAAAAGTGCAACTGAAGCTCTGTCCTTTGCAAGAGCAACCTTGTTTCTGTATGTCAGGGGATCTAGAGATTCCCATCCCTTCTCTACCACAACTCCTTCGTTTAGGACTTGATCTATCGAACCTTTACACACTGCAGGAACCAGTGTATCCCACATTCTCCACAGTTTCAAATTAATCGTAGCTCCTGGTACGACATCGTTGTGTCTTAAATCTGAATCGTCTAGCATATCTCCTTCATCAAGATACTGTAAGCGTTGCAAGTTGTAAGGTATTCCCACAACAAGTTCTGCGTAACATTTTAGTTCCCGAATATTCATCTCGGCGTGGACATTTTTTAGCAAGAACTTCTCTCCTGTACATGCAATGTAAATATAAATATCGAAAGGAGCTGTCTTCAATCCTTTCTTCTTCCTTTTGACCGTGGTCATACTTTCCACTCCAACAAAGAAACTTTCAAAACTCTAATTTGAGAAACTACTAACAGAGGGATGGACTTTTCGCAGCCATGTTTGGCTTTTAGAGTTGGCTTAGCTGTTACCATAGCAACAATCTGTCAATTTTAATTTGAGTTGGTCGTTTTGTGGTCATGTCACGCCAACTCTTACCGTCTTTCCTTTCCTCTATGTCAAGCCACCTCTGATCTTCCCAGGCACGATTACTTAGGGTTTACCAGATTTTATATAACCCTCGCTTAAGACGAGGAGGTCCGTCGGAAATATTAAATAAAACGTCGGAAAATGATTAAAAAAACAAAACAAAAAAAACACTTAATAGCAGGTGTTCCGTCGCCGTCGAAAGTCGCTGAAGCGGATCGTTGTCAATTTCGGAATCTGAAAAATTTCGAACATGACCCGGGCTACATTTGCGTCACGAGTGTTAAATGCGTGATTATATTCACGCGATTGCTAAGCTATTTTCACAAACCACAATCAGTTTAAGGTCGTTTAATGGTTACTTCACCCACGAACACAAACAAGGAACATTTGAATCGCAGACAAAAGAAACGTCATTTGCATGCGGCAACACTTTACCCTTGATGGTGCGAAATCCATTTGAAACCTTGGTAGCCAGTTGAAGGGTAAACACACGCACACACACAAGTAGAGAGTGGAAGCTTGCGATGAAGAAGAAGTGTCGTGGATACTTGTTTCAATCGCTTGTGACTGTCCTATCGTTTGGCCATATTTTAAGTTCGTTGGCGACGCCAGCAGGTGAGATGAATATTTGATTCTATTTAATCATGGATCAGTTTGATCTACTGGATCATTTACAGAGCTGACGATTGTTGTCCTAAGCGGCTGCCTCCAGCGGCGCTTTCTTATCGATTATCTGGGGTACATGCACGTTTGACGGAGCACCACGTGGTTATTTCTCACTCTGCTGATAAACTGAACATGTCGCTGGTACATGCACGTTTGACGGAGCACCACGTGGTTATTTCTCACTCTGCTGATAAACTGAACATGTCGCTGGTATCACTACACAGTGAGGTTTGAGAAGTAAAATCGTTTCGAAACAAGAAAGTCACCAAGTGGCGCTGTATATCGGTTTAATAGTTAAGAATAACGCCGTTTGTCTTCTTCAAACTCCGTCTGTCTGTCTGTCTGTCTGTCTCGTCTGCTCCCATGTTCTCGCGGGCCGTTGGCAGCTTTTAGAGCGTCATTTTGTTTTTTTGAGATGTGTGGTAATACGGGATCTAACAATAGAAGAAGATTTTCAAAATCATAGGATTAATTAACAACCTGATTCCTTGCGGAAGTCTTAAAGTTTTTGCTATTTTGATGAACTCTGATGAGATTATGTGAAGATAAATCATCTGTAAGCGTTTTGTTTTTTCCTTTCAGAAAAACTTAAGAAAGGGGGTACTGGTCTGACTTATTGCCAACGCAATTTTTGATTATTCTCAGTGTTCTCGTGAACAAAAATTTCCTCTACCGAAGGGAGAGCAGAATCGAAAATGTTTATTTTCCCGTGCATTAATTTTTATCGATTGAACAAGGAGCTAATTTATGATAATTGATGCCGTGCAGCCGAATACCACACGCTCTGCATCAAAAAGAGCAAGTCGTCCTTATGAGAAAGCTTCCCGCAAATTTTTTGGCTCTCCAGCCCCATTGTAAACTTTTTTTTTCATGCTGTTGTTTTTAAGGATTTCGCTGGTGTTGTGTTTCGGAAGCAGAAGTTTCTAAGTGCTTACACTTGGCGAATGTGACATCACAGATCGCCTGGTTCCGGGGGATGATATGTATCCATGGAAACAACGTTACAAAATGTGTCAAGATGGTTGGTCATGGAACGGCCGATTTCATCACTTTAGGAGAGGAGAATATTTATCAGGCTGGTAGGTCATTGTAAAATTTTAAAAAGCTGTATAGACGCTGGCAATTGGCAATGTAGTTTTTGTTAACAATAGGGGCCAGGAGCCTCTTGGGGCCAAAAAATTGAAATAGCGAGCGCGAAAGTTTATGAAAAGGTCAAAGGGGCAAGGGACTTCTGGGCAAAATTGCTTCCGCTCTCTCCCCGCTCTTTTTCTGCGAACTCCTACCAAATTTTGCACGGTCGCTTTTCCGATTTTCTCCGCACCGACCCATAGAACTGAACTATACCTTTCAATAAAATTTATTTTTGACGCGGTTCTCGCCCCTCAGATCTGAAAGCTAACTCCCCTCACTGAAAATCACACATTTACTTGTGGTCAGCCTTAAGACTTTTAAGCTAAATGCAAACAACATCTGCGTCACCTTAATTCTTATCCCTCGTTTCTTTGACACAATTATGTCAAAATTGTCAGAATTAGCGTATCGATGACTTCCGAGACTGAAAGGGCTCAAGCCCACTTGAAATATTAAATTTTTGAAATCTTAAAGCAATTTCATCAATGTTTGTGGATCTTTACGAAATTCCAGTAGTTTGCATCACGTCTTAATGCGTCCTTTAATCTTAAACATCCCTGTTCCCTTTTTTTTATTTAATTCGTCATTGTTCTTGGCTACTGTTAGTCCCCTTCGCAGCAATTGTTTGGTCTCCTCACACAATGCGTTATGTTCCGTGACTAAACCAAACAACGGCTGCGAAGGAGACTAGGTTAACGTTGCAAATTATTACTGTCTAAAGGTCTCCGTCAATGGCAATGTTCGACGACCCAAAGTACAATCAAAATATCGCCACGTACCTCCCCTATGATTAAATGCATGGAAAGCAATCGATCTAGGTCATTTCACATTTAACTAGGTTCCAAACATGGTCTTGTGCCAGTGGTAGCGGAGGACTATGGCAAACAAGAAGAAGGTCTAGAAAGCTATTCCGTTGCCCTTATTAGAAGCAATCTGTCGGAAGGTGTCTCAATGAATTCGCTAAAGGACACCAAATCTTGTCACCCTGCCGCGGGGGACTCAGTCGGGTGGACAGCTCCTGTTGGACTGCTGATTGGAAGAGGAGTGATTCAGTGGAATGGTTGCAATACTTACCAGTCCACTGGGGAGTATTTTGACCAAAGCTGCGTCCCAGGTTTGTGGTTTATATAAGACTGAGTTGGAATCACTTCAAAATTAATTCTGTCGACTTGCGTTCGGCTTATAAGTTAAAAGTGCTGTTCTTTTTTTAAAGGATCAGTAAATTCTTTAGTAAATAAAAAAAAAAAAAAAGAATATTCATATAATAAGGGTCAGGCTAGTTCATAGATCTGTATGGTTTTGCTGATTTTAACTGAAGGCGAAGAACCAAAAAAGCGAAAGTATCGTCGTATCACTTAAAAAACATCACGGGACTGAGGGGGGTTGGGGCCTAATTTGTAAAGGTTACACGAGGGACTTGAATACGCATACTGGGTTTAATTAGAAAAATTGCAATTTCCATGATCGGGCTTTGTTTAAAAAAAGTTCCTATTTCCACTTATTCATTTGCCAAGTTGTTTCAGGAAGTTTATTTGTTATCGGACAGTTTTTTTTATCGGACAGTTTGTTATCAGACAGTTCAATAAGCCAATCACATTCTAAGTTGTATTTAAAAATCAACCAATCACAACATCAAACAATTTACGCCTTCTTTGTCAGTCTTTTAATGCAAATTTTCCCTTTCTTTCATAATTTGGTTATTCTTCTTTTTCTGGAAAATTATAATCTTTACGACTAATTGGTAATGAGACTTCGTGCCGTCCAATTCGGTCTGTAATCATACTCCTGATAAACAAATTGGACTCCCGTTGCGCGATCGTCCGATTTTGTTATCATTCGTATGATTACAGACCTAATTGGACTCCACTCAGTCCTATTATCATGGGCTGACATGCAGTGCTCTAGGACTGAAAACATTGAATGCCCATTAAAGCGCTTATAAGTAATACTTACCCTGGGATCCATCACTGTTCGTAATTGCATCTTATGTGTTCATCTTTAGGGGCTCTTTCGAATGAATACAACCCACAAAACAGCAATCCCACGGGTCTGTGTGCGATTTGCACTAATCAGAAGACTTGTCCACGAAATGTTTCCGAACGGTACTTTGGTTATCATGGGGCGTACCGCTGCCTGACGGAAGGCGCTGGGGATGTAGCTTTTGTCAGCCATCTCACGGTGTTCCTACACACTGGAGTGGAAAATGATTTTAATCCAGGGAGGGATTTCAAATTGCTTTGTTCCGACGGAACTCGAGCAGGTAATGTAGAATAGGTCTTAATCGCAATTCTAGATATGATCGGCCAAATAAATTACTTTCTAGAGGGGAGTTAAAGTGGCCCTGTGGTTGACGTTTGATTTCGATTTAACTTGAGAAGTTTGGGCTCGAGCCACTACCGAGATCACTGTGCTAATTTCTTCGCCTCTCACCATTTCAAGGCGTAAATGGTCCCCAGCAAACTGCCGGGAAAATCTATCGGTTTAACCTGTGATATACTAGCATCCCTTTCCGAAGGAGTAGCAAAAGGCCCAGTCATCATTTTACGGTGGTGGCAATCGGTATAAACTCTGCTGGCATGAACCGTGTTCATGGCTCGTGTGCAGGTTTTCTTGTTTATTCCTTTCATAAAACTACATCATTGTTATACTACCCACCCAAACTTAATCAGCTGCAGCAAAGCGATTTACAATATGCAGCCGTCCATTTTACTCCATGTCTCACCATATCTTATACAATAGATGTTGGAACCTTTCAAACATGTAACCTGGCCAGGATTCCTTCTCGTGTCGTCATGGCACGGCCCGGAGGCATGGTAAAGAGTTTAAAACAGTGGCTTCTTCGCTTAGATGAATATTGTCGGACAAATCCGCACTTTTTCCAAATGTTTAATTCTTCCACGTACGGTGGTAAAGACTTATTATTTGCAGACTCCACGGTCAAGCTTATAGATGTGAAAGAAAAGAACACGACCCAGACTTGGCTTGGTGAAGAGTTCTATTTCGCTCTTCAGTCACTCAGCTCCTGCCCAGAGGTACTTGTAGCATCTAGATCACTTACGGTCAGAATCGAACCGAGAAGGACTGGGCAGTTTATATCAACTGAGTTCATCTCCTTAGTCCTTACTCTTTATTGCTGCCTGACATAAAACCAAACGGAAATGCTAACACTCGGCGGCGTGGTTTAAAAGTATCCCGGTCAAAACATCGACAGCATTTGGTTTCACATACGGAATCTAGTAACAGCTAGTGTTGATGTGCGAGTGCATCTCTAAGGTTTGTGTGCCTGAATCAGCATACCATACCGTTACCGAGATCGGTCAATTATCAAATCATCAACCTTACTCTGGGAGACATTCTTCTCACGCTTGAAAAAGAGTATCGGTCGGTTCTATAGACGCCGACGGACTCCTTTAATTTCACTTTTCTTCGAATTAAACGGTTTTAAATCATCTGCGTTGGTTCAAAAAGGCACAGATATTTCGAGGTACTTCACAAAATTTAGGAAGGGGAGAAACAATCCTGATTATCTTCAAATTGCATTGAAATATTTCTTAGTAGCAAGGTGTCTAGTCTCTAAAACTAAACGCAACTAATTATAGAACTGGTTAAAAAAGTGGAAACTGCAAATGAAAAGGAAAACGGAAAAAATGAGAATCAAAGAAAAAACAAGGAATGAGTGACTAAAAAGTAAATGAACGAACGAGCGAACGAATGCATGAACGAGTGAAAGTGTTCTTGGCTCCCGTGATCTTCTATAATTAATTACATCAGAAAGCTAAATTGCATTGGAGATCACCGAGACAATCTGAATGGTGTACAGCAATGAGCTCAGGAAGAAGAGAGGCCCCTAAAAGGATATGATCTCACTTGCATTAAATTGTAAACCGAATAACATTGTCCGTGTGTTATTTAAATGCTTGCTGTTTTTCGTATTTTGCACAAAATGCTAACAATTTGTCACTTAATTGCACATATATCTTTGTAAAAAATTGTATTTCGAAATCTTTGTTTTCTTTACTCGAATCCTGCGACAATTTGACAAACGATCCGATTTTCGCCGAGTTGTAGTTGAGAGTTCGCTTTCTGACGTGATTTGAGGCTTATTATGCGAAATCACCTTGTACAAAAAAGAATTTGGTAGAAAAAAAAGGAAAAACAAATAATCAATGTAAAAAAGAAATCGAAGCATTTCACCAAGTGGTATCAAACAAGAAACTCACATCTTTCCAACCAACTTTGGCATGCGAAATAATAGTGACTGGCACGGTTCGTGAGGTCTTACTTTAGGCCGAGTCTTGCTTACTTACTTTCTTACGTATGCTTACTTAATTATTACATACCGGCTGGCATAGGGCTTATCTGGCTATAAGCCAATAAGCTAAAAAAAACACACAAGTACACCGAGCGATTAAGAACAAAAACTTTATTTCGAGATCTGAAGCCACTGATAGTTCAAATGTCTTACTTTCTAATCTCTTCTAGTGTTTCTTGTGCTTAAAAGAAATTTTTTTTCCATCTTGTTTTCTACGTACATCGTCACGGCCCAGTGGCCTGGAATCATGTTAAAACTGAAAATACCGCGGGGTAAAACTTTTTCTCTGACTGCCTTTTATGTAACATCTCGATACACAATCTGAAACTGACATGGTGTGCTACGAAAACTGGAGACATAACGTAATCAAGAGATTTTGCGCTATATGGCTGTTGATTTTGTTGCTCTAAAACACGCACAGCAGCTGGATCACGAGTGTAGCCCCCGCGGAACGGGTCCTGGCGGAAACAGAAGCTGTGAAATAAGAGAAAAGCTAGCAAAAACACGCGAGGTAAATTTGGGAGAGAGACTGGAGAGAGCCACGCTTGTCTATCATCGCGTGAGGTTCTTTCACACGTAATAATAGGACATCAGACGAGAGCTTACCAAGCCGAACAAAAGATCTGACCGCAATCAATTCGACACTAATACAGTCATGCGCGGTGATTTCTTTGAAGCTGGCTGGATTATATGATTAAAGAACTGCATTGAACGCTAAAAGCAAATTTTACAAGGAAGCAAAGTTGACTCTGAAAAGTGGAGACATTCCTTGGTAATGCAAAAAATATTGATGGCTACCTATTTGATCTTTATCCTCTCGATCTTTTCCAGTGTTTTAAACTTGTCGATCTCTCAATAAGCAACACAAAATCTACTCTCAAACAATGACAGGCAAAACTGAATGAGTTTTGAATGGTATAGCCCCCAAAAAAGGAAAGGATAATCTGGGCTCAACAACATTTTCCTTGCTTTCGCAGCTACGTTTTGACAAGAAAGGATAAAAGCGCGGCTAGAGCTCACAATGGCCATGGTCTCCCTCTGCTAACTTTTCAATTACCGTTCACGAACTAGAAAAAGGACTACCCTAATGACCTAACGACTTATTAATAATCAGCTTCATCACTACCTAAGCACGCTTCAAAGCTCGCGTTATATGAGCATGTTCAGCAAGGCTGTGAAAAGCAACAGCGGGTAGACGGGCAGGAACACCGTAGAAGCGGAGAGGGTTGTAGGCGCGGTGGTTGAACTGTAGTCGCACTGAGTCAGGGAATCCACATTTTCCCCATACTTTTTTCCAAGGTAGTCCATGAAGTCCTGCTTATCTGCAGCTTGAGCTTTCAATGAGGTTGTTGAATCTTTAAAGAGCAAATTGCTGCCGCCGTACTTCGAGGAGTTGAATAGCTGGAACTTATTCCAGTCTGTCTGGTTCTCTCCATACTTTTCACACATGGTTATCAAAATTTTGACGATGACTTCGATGTTAGGGTTGTCCTTCTTTGTGACCACAGCATGGGCAGGATTTGCTCCGAGGTGGCATTCCTTGTGCTCTCCAACATCTAAAGAAAAAAAAAGTGCATTACATTAGTACTTTCTCAACATTAAAATTTAACGTGGTTAATAAAGTAGCAATTCTAAGGTGCATGAGCATCTATGTTATCATTTTAAAATTTAGTCAGCGTTCCTAACAGTTCTCTTATGTTATGATTGTGCCAGTGGGCCAGGGCCCGCGGGGGGAATTGTAAGAAGCCGAACATCGCTCTGCCAAGTAGTTGATTATGCTTGTTAGTTTGCAGTCTTAAAACAACAGTTCAAAAGCACACCAAAATGGAAACAGGTTTGTATCGCACGCGCTGTAAATAGGAGAACCATATTTGAATACATTACCCTTTCTTCCTCCATCAGGGCAAAGATACTGGTAATCTCCCGGTTTCCCGTATTTTCCTCCATCAGTCACCTCCTTTGTGGTTGTGTATTTCACAAAAGCAACGTCACCTTTTCCATCCGCCATGCACTTGAAGGCTCCATGATAACCGACGTATTTATTTTTTTCCATGTTTATAGTACACTTGTCACTCTCCGGGCCAGCACATAGATTACAGAGGTTACTAACCTTTTCATAGACGCTTGCCGACACTTTAGCTTTGGTACCTTAAAGACAAACCGCTTCAAGAATGAAATTTTACCTCTTCAGTGTTTGAATTAGACTGAAATTCTCTGTTTACTGCGTACGTCTTGAGCAATGCATAATAGGTATCGTGCGGGCTACAAGGTGTTAGCTTGTCACTTGGTGCAGTGAAGCATTTTTTTCCTGCAATTATATATAATTTTTACATACTCCGACACTTCGCTGCTCTGTATATCTAGTGTCATTAATCTAATATTCTCTATAATGAATACGTAATTTAACTATGATGACCATGTAGAAGACCTATTTTAAGTGGATTGTCTAAGGTAAAACAGAGTTTTACTTTGGTTTCACTTTTGCTTATTTTTCCCTGCATTCGAGACAGTTAATCATTTTTTAATAGAGAGTCTTCATCGACTCCTCGTGTCTTTTACAGTGACCAGATAGGCCGATTTGGTAACTAAAATAAATCACGTCTACGATCAACTGAAATATTTGTAACCTGTGGATGAGAGTCAAACAAATAAGTGAACCTCGCAGGTGACCTGCAGTGAAACAAATTGTGGAAAAGAAGACTGAAAAAAAATCCATGCATCAACTGATCTCCGATGCCAAATATTGGGAGCGAGGCGAGTTCTGCAGTGTAGCGAATCAATTTGTTGAGTCTTCTTTTCTGAAATTTTTCCAAGCCCTTTACCTCCCATGAGTGACCAAGACAGAATTTCTCCTTACGATATCTATACAATATCAAGCAGACAAGTGGTGAGAGTAAAGAAAAATAACGATTAGGGGATTATTAGTTGATCGATTACCAAAATCTCTCGACTAACGTTGTACGAATTATATGGCAGACAGAGAGGAGAATTACTCACAAGATCCTGAGAGTAAAAAGGTTAATCGCAGCACATTTTCGAGGACCATTTATTTTCAAACTGCGCTCTAACTTTAATGTGGAAGCCTTACCTGGAACACAACTTTCACTGAAGAACTTTGCAGCCGACAAGTAAGAGTTGTACTCATCTCCACAGGCCACAGACGGCATAATCTTTACCCGAAGCAAAAATCCTACCGGCACTTTCCAACCTGCGGTTCTTCCAGCTCCAGTGTGACAAGACTTCTTCCCTTTGAGGCTCTTTATGTCAAAGCCTGTGTTTTTCTTTCTTACCACAGCGACTGCAAAATACTTAACCCCGTATTCTCCGTACTGTTCAGCAACAATGACTTTGAAACCGTGTAATTTCCCTGTATCGAGAGAAGATGACGTTAAGATTAGAAAACATCTGAATTAAAGACCTGCTGTTGATTATCGTGGGTTTCCTAATGACGTTGAGGTTTCCAGTGGTATTTCTCCTAACAATCTGCAGTAAACAGACTAGCTCAAGCCGAATTTTTATGGAAAGAATAAACAGCAGAGAATATCGCGGAAAAATTTTATTCTTGCGGAGATGACGACTTCTTTCCAAGCTCTACTCCGTTAACCCTTTGAATACGAAAAAGAGCATATTTTTTCAGTTGTAATTTGGCGATACAGACTTAACCTCACTTCGTTGGTCCTTCTATGGATCATCCGTTACAATATTTGCGGTTTTAAGACACCATGGGCTCAGACGTTGGGGTCACATGACTTAGATCAACAGTTCGTATTTGGATGCGTTCAAATCGATTCGGTTTCTCGCTTTTCTGGCCGTTTATAAGTGTTTCTCGAACCATTTTCCCTCTACAGAAGCCCTCACGACGGCATCATTAAGATGGAATGTGGGTAGAGGCAAGCCTCTGAAGGAAAACAGAGGTGAGAGATGGTTTATTGTAGACTGGACCGCCAACGATGCTTTACTGCCAGCTTGGCGAGTTCACAAGTGAAGTTGTCTCTCGGGTCCATCTGTGGATGGCTTCCAGGACCTACCAAGGCTATGTGGCCAAGTTTTGACCGGTAAAAATTTCAATCGATGCGATATTTTGCTGGTAGGACTGGATGGCCCGACACGATTCTAATAATTCTTTGAAATGGAAATGATAGGAATTGCCTTTTCGAATTATGGCGGAATTACCCTGAACTCTTTTTGAGCATGAACAAGGCAACGGTTGTGTTCGCGCCACTGGCTTTCATCAAATGGAAAAACAAGGGCTGGCAGATAAAGTGAGAAGGAATTTTCTTGCCAAACTCCAAGATCTGGCCCCGAGGTGTGATTTGAACGCAAACTTTTGATTTTTTTCTAGCAAGTTTTTATCTTAAAAGATCGACATGTTTTTGGTGTTGCTCTTGGAGCAAAATGCTGGACTTTGGGATTTGTTGCCATACGAACGGTTCACTGCAATGAAAGTCAGGAATCATTGTGGGCGTTTTAGGTTGCAATAGGTGTCACATCAATGAGCCGGTACAATTTACACACTTACATAATGTTGTGTCTTAAGTTCAACAAGAAACAAGTATCAAAAGTAGTAACGGTATTATCTGGACATATCTGTTCACTTAGTATGCAAAGGGTTAACTTAGCGTGATCTTTAATTAGTTCTTAGGCGACGAACAGTACCTCCTTTTAAGCGAAGTCCGTCAAGCGGTTCGAAAAAATCAGCGAAAAAAAAACAGATTGTGGCTAACGCCGAGTGGAACTCTGGAATGACGAGAGAAGCCTCACTCCCGTGATCCCAGAGCTCCGCAGGATACGCTGGCCACCATTTGATTTTTCCCCTGATTTTTTCGGACACACGAAAAAGAGGAAGGACTACTCGAAGTCTATCTAATTCTTTTAAACTAGCTCGACGATCTCACTCTAGTCTGTTTATTTCGACGTATTGACTGATGTATTTTCTGTGTGTTTTTACAAATGCCTTGCAATTTCGAGATCTGAAAGCCTAAGCCCATTTCAAAGTTTGAACTCCAGTTTCTTACATCGAATTCTGGATCCAAATCATAAATGAATTTGTCGAATACTTCATCGAACAGAAAACTTATTTTACAAATCCACGCGTGATATGCGGGACACAAAACGTCTGACAGGGTTCGAAAGTTAAATATTTAGTGTCGGAATTAAGTGGCGATTGATTCAGTCTCTACAAGGAAAAGGCAGCCTACTAAAAACTTACCAGCCGCGTAAATGTCTCCACCATCCAGGGTCACCAGGTCGGCCTCGTCGTTGTTGATTTTTTGTATGCAATCGTCGGTGCTACTTCCGTCGACGCAGCTTGCATTCACTGACAACGTCAGGTTTTTAGCCACCGCCATTACCTTATCTTTAAATTCATTACACTTGTCTTTCTCAGCAGACAAGGCGCACCATCTAAACTTGATTTGGTCTGAAAAATAAAAAGCTGTGATAATCGCATCCCTGTATAGTTTTTTCTTCTCTGGTCAAGCAAAAGTATTAATTCCTGTGGGTCTAGCAAATGCACAAATGGCACAAATGGAAGGTGGGACACGCGCGAGGGCAGGAGCATGCGTCTTGCTCCTCGTGATCCTCGCGCGTTTTCCTCATGCTTCCCTTTGTTCTTCAAAAAGACATCTGTTCTGCAGGCGAGCTTTATTTTCTTGAAGACTGACTGCCGCACTTGAGATTAACTCAGCATCAGTGAAAAGCTTATTTGCTTAAGCATCAACGACAGAGCGGAAATGTATTAGTTATATTTAACTCCCCTTCGTGATTGGTCAAATTGGAAAAATCGTGCCATCCAGTTGAACAATCAGGAACACACTTTATGTCAGTAGGTCGCGTCAACGACCTACTGGGTTCAGAATGAACATGTTGTTTCGCACGACCACAATCCTTTTTGGTGTTTTATAACATGGAGAGCCAAAAAGGCTTCGCAAATTCTTTTAAACTTGTCGGTTTTTCGAAATTCGCGCTTGATAGCAACCAAATATTTTCCATAGTCCAACTTCAAATTAGTCTCCTTCGCAGCCGTTGTTTGGGCTCGTCACACAACGCTCCCTCCCCCACCAACCGGATGCTTAAACCCGAGCCACATTCCTTTCCCTGGTTTTAGCCAATCACGATTTCGCTCATATAATTCTGTGTAAGTCCCGTATTCTATCTATTCTATTAGCGGCTCATTGAGCAGAGAAAATGGCAACTCTCAAAGAAGCTTTTGTTTCGACCGCTTCCAAGTTCAAAATTCCCAGTTTAAATGAACCCCAGAAGCTGGCATTGAGAAAATTCTTTTGCAAAAAAAAAAAAAGATGTATTTGTAAACCTGCCAACAGGGTTTGGAAAATCCTTGATTTATCAAGGTAACATCACGAGTAACCGATTAACCTTTCACCTATCTTTCGCCGTACGTGATGCCGTTAGGTTATTTTAAATACTTAGTAACAAAAACATCTACGTTTACGGATTTTGACCTCTTTATAGAATAAAGACGTAAATAAGGAACGTTATCATCTCCAGTCCTTCTACGAGTTTCCTGAGCCCAAGGATGATAGATAATAGATCTCTGCAGTAGGCATCAAATACTGTATCCATACTTAAACTTGAGCTTCAGATCTAACTAGATTATCTTTTTCGTTATTGCCTCTAATTTAATAGATGCAGATTAGTAGACAGATAAAGCCGCCGGAATATTAATCTATGGGGGAGTTAGGATACATCCTTAAAAAGCTGGTGATTTTTTTGGCACAAATCTCAAACTAGAACGGGCTTGCATTATCGTTTTCAAAAACTGCAAATGATGCCAAAATAACTAGGAAACCGACCTTGCTCATCATGAAGGCGGCATCTACTTTACATGAAAGACGCTTAAAATGCATTTTTTGTAGCCTAGAGGCTCCTCCGCGAGATCAGGCAATTTTCAAGCTTCAAAGTTGTTATTGCGACCTCGTTATCGAGTGTGCACGCGAACAAAGTTTTCTGCACGATCTTTACTTCAATTTTTCGCTGCTATATTGCAAAGTTTCAAACCAAGTTGAAGCTTGCATTAATTGCAGGCGATATCTGATTCAACTGATGCGAGGACGTTGCGGTTTAATCTGTCTATCTTTCGCAAGGATTTGATGAACAAGCGCAAAACCAAACAGCCATTGAAACCTAGCCTGCGTTGCAGCCGAACGTGTCACAAAATCCCCGGCAGAGTCCTGCTAAACAGGCCGTTTAGACTGTGCAAAGCAGGCTATTATTACGCGAGCGTGGACTTGTAATTATAATATAAAAGAGGAGCCCGTAATGTAGCTCTGGAACATGCTTCCGTGTAATTAGCTGAGCTGATGAACCGAGCAATGAAACGACAACTCCTGTAGAGTAATTGTAAAATCACCTTCGACATTCATTCCTATTTTGCGGTAGTTTATCCCTCAAATGAAACACTTCCGGCAGAGGTACGTAGAAGGAGGAAGATAACCCAAAAGGAAAGGAGACAATAAGGAAGAAAACTCAATGATGGCACCCCATTATTGAAACCTTTGTGAAAATTGTAACAATTCCCTCGCGCCATCCGTATTACGACACACTCGTACAAAATTATTGTTAAGTTACATGGTTGGAAAGAGATCTTTGAAATCACTGTTCATCGGGGCGACCGTGGCACGGAAATTGCGCGCTGAAATCGCAACTGAGTTGCGCGAATAACTTTCAACTCACCGCTTTAGAGCTGTAAAAATTGCATAGAATGAGCGACAACAATCGCTGGCATGAATTGTCGCATCGAAAATTGCAGCGCGAGACTAGCAAATATTCTTGATGAAAACATGTAAACATAAAGAAGTTCAAAGCTTTTAAATAAATGTCGAGCGACAGAAAAAAGTGCTGTTTGCTACGGCCTTTAAAACATATCTAAGAGGCTTAGTTAACAGAAGTGACTTACAACGCAACCATAAAAATGAGATTCAAGGCAAAGATGAAGGTTTAGCTTACCCGCTGAATATGCATAATGGATAGTGGTAAAGAGCAACAAAACGATCAGAATCCTCTCCATGTTTGCTGAAGCCGTTGAAACACCCAGAAAACGCCTTGAAATTTCTCAAAGTGAAACCGACGCTTCTAGTGAAATCTAATATGGAAATGTTAGAACTGTCAGCAGGATATGTGATCGTTAATGACAGTTAAGGCCACATTGCGACGCCTTCCTAACACCTAGGCTTTCAAGGGTGTCAATCATAGCACTGAGGTTACTGTCAACGAAATCTGCTCAAAATTTCGGTTTTTCGCTTTTTAGTTAGAGGGAGCAGTTAAGTTAAATCTGTCAAAAAAAAATTTACAAAATCTTAAAAAGAACGCAAAATACGGCTGTAAGAATGTTTTTAAAGGGTTAGCTTATCATCTGCTAAGTGATACCGTCCAGTTTCTTTGGATGTCCGCGTCAACGACCTACTGGGTTCAGAATGAACATGTTGTTTCGCACGACCACAATCCTTTTTGGTGTTTTATAACATGCAGAGCCAAAAAGGCTTCGCAAATTCTTTTAAATTTGTCGGTTTTTCGAAATTCGCGCTTGATAGCAACCAAATATTTTCAATAGTCCAACTTCAAATTAGTCTCCTTCGCAGCCGTTGTTTGGGATCGTCACACAACGCTCCCTCCCCCACCAACCGGATGCTTAAACCCGAGCCACATTCCTTTCCCTGGTTTTAGCCAATCACGATTTCGCTCATATAATTCTGTGTAAGTCCCGTATTCTATCTATTCTATCAGCGGCTCATTGAGCAGAGAAAATGGCAACTCTCAAAGAAGCTTTTGTTTCGACCGCTTCCAAGTTCAAAATTCCTAGTTTAAATGATCCCCAATGATCCCCATTGAGAAAATTCTCTTGCGAAAAAAAAAAAAAAAGATGTATTTGTAAACCTGCCAACAGGGTTTGGAAAATCCTTGATTTATTAGGCTCTTCCACTCGTGTGCGATCACATCAACAATCTTGCTGGGCATATAGTTGTTATTGTTTCTCCGCTCGTAAGTCTTATGGAGGATCAGGTCAATTGCCTGCAAAGTATTGGAGTCAGCGCGGTAAAAATTAGTTCCCAAGAAGGGATTGACCGCCCTAGTATTGAGTATGGAAAATATTCGTTAGTTTTTGGCTCACCAGAAGCATGGCTCAGGAATGATCGTTGGCGATCGATGCTAGGAAATGGTGTATACCGTGCGAGGTTATGTGCTGTGGCTATCGATGAAGCACATGTTATAAGACAGTGGTAAGTCAAGAACCAATTCCTTACTTCTCTTAACGTGCCATTTTAGCTTCGTCTTATGTTATTTAAGTTTATATATATTCCTTTTACAATTAAGTCGAGTGGTTAACAACAGGAATGTTTTCTCACTTTCTCGAGGGCATTTGCAAAGCAGATGTGATAGACGTAAGCTTAATTTTACTTCATGTTTCGCGTTCGAAATGTTGCGATTTATGTAGAGAAATATATTCGTAGTCATAACAGACTACGTTAATGGTGAACTGTAGTCTTGGAAATGTATGATCATATAGGTGTTATCGTGTTCACAGTCCTGTCAAAGAGCTCTTGTTCACCGACATTATTCTCCTCGTCCGTTCGCAGCAGTCTCTTTGCCCTAGGATTTTCTCTTGTATTGAAGACCTCTTCTATTTCTTTCTTGATTTCTTTCAGTTTATCCGATGCCTTCTTAAACTTTATCAAAAGCTGGTGGCATTTCTCTCTAAAAACAAACAATTTGCTCTTCTCCGCGTTGCGATGCACGTCAACAGCGAGCGAAGAACGAATTAGTTCAGTAAAATCAAATGAACTTTTACCGAAAATGTAAATTTTATCCTTTGTGAGTGAAATCGAGGAACAAATGAAGCATCTCTAACTACTTTCTACCAATTTCTTCGGAGTTACATCCATGGGAAATTTTTTAGATGACTGGCAACTCCAGAAAGCGCCGATGAATTTACCCGGGGAACTTACGTCATTGAAATTTGATTGGTTTTATCGTGAAACCAAAGGCGACGTGTGATTGGTGCAAACGCGCATTATCACCTGCAGTCACCGTGGTGGGAGAGGGAGCGTTGCGTGACGAGCCCAAACAACGGCTGCGAAGGAGACTAACTTCAAATAGGATTTTCTCGGGAACCAATGGGAATATCAATAAAGCTTGTTTTTTTTTTGGCATACTAGTGACACAAACTAGTTTATTTTTTTCAGGTCTGATTTTCGCTATTGCATAAATAGCGCTATCTACTGCGAAGGATCGTGCATCATACGTATTTAATACCGCAGTTCAAAATATATGAACTTCATATATTCATTGTATCTGATTTATCATCACGGGTTTATTACGAATCAACTTAACGGCCTGCTCCCAGTTGGCTTGTTAGCTCAATTGGTAGAGCGCTGCACTAGTATCGCAGAGGTCAGTGGTTCGAATCCCGTACAGGCCTGATTTTTTTTCAGGTCTGATTTTCGCTATTGCATAAATAGCGCTATCTACTGCGAAGGATCGTGCATCATACGTATTTAATACCGCAGTTCAAAATATATGAACTTCATATATTCATTGTATCTGATTTATCATCACGGGTTTATTACGAATCAACTTAACGGCCTGCTCCCAGTTGGCTTGTTAGCTCAATTGGTAGAGCGCTGCACTAGTATCGCAGAGGTCAGTGGTTCGAATCCCGTACAGGCCTGATTTTTTTTCAGGTCTGATTTTCGCTATTGCATAAATAGCGCTATCTACTGCGAAGGATCGTGTATCATACGTACAAACTAGTTTGTTTGGATTACCGGGGTAACGCGGAGGCTGGTAAATACTCAAGTATGTTAAGGCCTGGCTAGCTAATAATATTACGAAATGCAATTTAGAATGGTTAGGTTTAATCTGTACTCCTAAAACCTGTATTACTAGTGTAACTTATCGTCCTTAGAAAAAAGGGATCTAATCTTGCCCAGCCGATGACTATGCAAGTAAAATAGATCTTATCAAAGCAAGGGCTATCAAAATCTTACAAAAAACATTGGGGGTAGCCGCGCAATATTCCAAGATGATTGGGTTTGAAATAAAAAAAAAAATTCCTGGCGTTGCATGATTTTTAAAAGTGGAGAAAAAAGATTTTCCCGTCAATTCCATTTGAATTTAATTTTTTGAAAGAAAAATCAATAGCATATTAAAAAATCTTTAAAATAACAAGCAAATACGATCCCTAGAACAAGGCAATGTAAGTTTTTATTATCAAAATGACTGCATTGAGGCCATTTGTAACCCTGATCACTTTCACTTGCCCAGCGAAAAATACTTGTTAATAGGTTTTTCATTGGATGAAATATTAACTGTGTGTTTTATGGACTTTTTCTTTTTGTTTGATGTCATTAAAAACAGGGAGTTATTTCGTTATTTTTTTTTAAATCAAGCTTTCCTGACACCTCCCCTACAAGTAAGCACATTGACACCAGCGTAGCGCGATTGTCTAGCGCGAGATATGCTATTCCCCTACCCTCCTATCTTAAGTAGTACTAATGCATTTGTAGATTGGGAATTTGAATCAGACAAAGAATTGCAAAGTACAGATCCTAAATAGCTTGTCGATGTACTCCAATAAACAGTGAAAGTTGAATGATATCGCAGAATTTTATTTCTTCATAGTGTTCTTGAGTGTCCATGATTAAGAACATTTCGTAGTCAACAGTAATCAACATGTGCACAGACATTTTCCCTTTAGTGCTACTCTAAGTCGGAAGATCTACAGAACAGCCTCTTCACTGCTCGACGGAATTTTGGCATCCTTAGCGAGTATAAAACCGGATTAAGAGCAGAGTTAAGGAGGCCAAGAAGTAGAACACCGTAGAACGTGTCATCAGTCTCAGTACTCCGACATTTATACACGATAGTATTGACGACAATTGATGGAAGCCAGCACAGTACAAACGCGCCATAAAAGATAAAAATTGCTTTTGCGACTTCGTGCTCTCGTTTACGCGCTGAAAGCAACCCTCTTCAGGTTGCATGAGTGGTTGATGAATTCCTTGTGCGAGGAGAGCTTTGTTAAATTTTCGGATGATTTTGAACATTCGAATATGTAAGCAAAGCATGAAAATTAACAGGAGAAATCCGATACCACCAAAGAAAAAGAAGCAACAGTATTCTTCTTTATTTCAAAGGAGAAGTAATGGTATGCTCACGGTAAGCCCAGTTAACCAAATGAAAAGATGTATGTCTTCATAGCATTTACGCGGAACAGTCTTCCATATCGCAAAGGCATTTCCAAGAGGATATACCTTTCAATTGTCAGAATTAGCACTGTTAAATTCGAAATTTCAACAGCCACAGTTCTCATTACGGCCACAGATTTCAATAACTTGGATCCAGCGTTATCCTTCTCCTCATGTTGCAAGACAACATGTAAAGCCGAAAGTGGTTCAATTACCATCCGGATAAGGATATCTGCCACGGAAAGGTTCACCACAAGATAGTTAGAAACGCTCCGCAACTCTGGGTCTTTATACACAGCCACGACCACCAATAGATTACCTATTGTGGTTATTACGGCAAGCGCAACCATCAGGATCATTTCAATAGTCCACATCGAGACTTCTGTCATCTTATCAACCACTGTAACGAATGCCCAACTATTCCCTTTACATCAATGTCACTAAAGTGTAAAAGGATGAAATAAATGAATAAATAAAAGAACTTTTAAAAAGTAAATACTATAATTATAGATCAATAGATATACTGCACACGAGTTCGATCCAGATTATATTTCCTCTCGCTCCCTTAAGTTATATCCAACTATTTATTTATGTAACTCTCGCACATTGCGATACCACATTGTGAATGGTAAAATATACATCACTTGAATTGCATGCTTTGTTGCGTTTACTTTCTCCTTCTTCTCCGCTGCACTCACTGCCGTGACCTTGGTTGATTGTCAACACTTTTTGATCAAATAGACGTATTGCATCTGGATATTCTGAATATGTGGATTAAGTCGCTCGGTGGACTATTTGCCAATGGAGAGTGGTGAATGAAATCTCGGCCGATCTGGGTCTGTCAGTCTCGTCTTAAAACTCAATTGACTTTGAGGCATTCTGGAAATTCACTCTGCTCAAGGGACCGGAAGGTGTTTTAATCAGCGAGCTTTGCTTCTTTGTTCGTCATCTGCATCTTTCTTTACTGATCAAGTCTGATCTGGCCAAGGGTGTAGTAACATAAATGAATAAAGGCTGATAGTTTCGAAAGAAACTGTTTGGGTGTGCGTCGGTGGGAGTAACGAAATAATTTGGATATATCAACAAAGTTGAAATGGTAAATTGGCCACCGTAACGATAACAAAAGCTGACGTTTCGAGCGTAAGCCTCACGACGAAGGGCTAACGTTCGAAACGTCAGCTTTTGTAATCGTTACGGTGGCCGATTTACCATTTCATTTTTATTGATATATCCAAATCATTATGTAGTAACATAAAGTCTAGTCAAAGCCGCTGACCACTACGAAGGGCAGCGGACTGTAAGGGGGGGCGGATCGAATTTATGAAAAAATCTGTTGTGTTGAGTGGTGTCGTCTCCCTTACTCGTTAGAGAACGTAACAAAAGGCCCAGTGAAATAAAAATCCCTCTGTTGATATAAACTTCAACTTGCCTGTCCGCATCTTTTACTAAATCATAGACGTATTCAGTTCACGCTCTTTCACTTTCGCGCTCCAACCGAACGACTCTTCTTTATTCTTTCGGCATCATGGTCGTTTAGCAATAGAACCTCAATAACTGTCGTCTTGAATGAAGGATTTCAAGATCTCGGCACTTAATTAGTTTTGCTCACGATCCGTTTCGTGTGAACTTCGTTTCCATGGTGGTCTGCTCCGTTTCCATAATGACTTCAAGACTGAAGTAAAATAACGTCGTAGCATGGATCCGAATACTGAAAATCTTTGCTCATGAGTCCTAACCAGATTTTCTAACATATCCANAGCGCTATTTATGCAATAGCGAAAATCAGACCTGAAAAAAATCAGGCCTGTACGGGATTCGAACCACTGACCTCTGCGATACTAGTGCAGCGCTCTACCAATTGAGCTAACAAGCCAACTGGGAGCAGGCCGTTAAGTTGATTCGTAATAAACCCGTGATGATAAATCAGATACAATGAATATATGAAGTTCATATATTTTGAACTGCGGTATTAAATACGTATGATGCACGATCCTTCGCAGTAGATAGCGCTATTTATGCAATAGCGAAAATCAGACCTGAAAAAAAATCAGGCCTGTACGGGATTCGAACCACTGACCTCTGCGATACTAGTGCAGCGCTCTACCAATTGAGCTAACAAGCCAACTGGGAGCAGGCCGTTAAGTTGATTCGTAATAAACCCGTGATGATAAATCAGATACAATGAATATATGAAGTTCATATATTTTGAACTGCGGTATTAAATACGTATGATGCACGATCCTTCGCAGTAGATAGCGCTATTTATGCAATAGCGAAAATCAGACCTGAAAAAAAATCAGGCCTGTACGGGATTCGAACCACTGACCTCTGCGATACTAGTGCAGCGCTCTACCAATTGAGCTAACAAGCCAACTGGGAGCATGCCATTAAGTTGATTCCTAATAAACCAGTGATGATAAATCAGATACGATGAATATATGAACTTCATATATTCATCGTATCTAAAGATCTCTAGTTCATACATACAGGTTTTGTCTGAATAACGAAACAACTGCCGATGTAAATTGTCTAAAAAATAACTGAAACTGTTGCCGAAAGATTAAACAGGATCTGAAAAATTCGTATTAGTGTTTTACCTTCAAATTCCATTGACATCTATTAAACTGCCAGCTGGTGTTGTCCAAGCTATAATTATTTATCTTTAATTTACAACTGGAGAAGCTAGGCTAGGTTCAAATTTCCAGAGAGTAATTCCAAATATCTAGCTTCAAGAGGTCGATGAGGCTTTCAAACGCTTTATGGCTTTCAATCAGTTACCCTTTCACAGTCAACCAGAGTTGCTGTTGATTTCCCGGAAATTGTCTTTGATTATCTCTTGTCCTCTTGGGATGTCACATGTGATCACGAGAACGGAATGTTAATATTTAACATGTTTGCACCCAGTAACGTAACGTCACGTTACCAAGTGGCGCATTATTCTTGTCCTAAAAATAATGATAAGTATTATTATCTAAATCAGCAGCAGCATTATTAACTATTATCATTATAATCAGGTTTCAGTGTTTTTTTTTTTGTTGTTGTTTAACCACAGCGGCATTATTCGTCAAGCTGTAGTCACATTTTTTGTCAGCAACAAACCTCGTGTGATCAATCGACACAAATCGAGAGAAACAACAGCAGCATAGCGTCTATGAGACCGATCTGATAACTCTCATAATTTGGATCAAGTTGAAACAACCCACAACCACGTCACAGTTTCACATTTCGCCATTTACATCCGCGTGACAAGCTAAGAGCCATGCAGTCTAGTCTGTTTGCGGCTGAACTCTCGGTCCAAACCCCCTTCGGTTTGGCAAGACTGGTTTTGTGGTGAACGGTTCTCCAAAGAGTCGCCAATTCTGCATCATAGAGTTTCCTAAAGAAAAAACTGACTAGCCTTTTTCCTCGACTGTTTAACCCTTCAATGTTCGAAGGGAAAGACTTACTTTCAAAGGACTCCAACATCCTTAAATTGAACTGAAAGCTCGGTGAAAGAAAATAACAAGCTCGAGCCCAGCCGCCAGCTTGATGCGAAGTCACTTTACTATTCGTCCCAGAGGTGCCTCATAACGCTCATGATCTGACTCGAATCCATATATATTTTTTCTTTTTCTTTTTTTGCACAAGCCACAAGTCTTTCTGGCTATCATGTACGCCTAAGACATTTTTAATTGTTACCACTAAGTAGAATTATTCCACTTGGTTCTGGTTAAAACATCAACAAATTTGAAAATTCTGGTTCAAAAGTAGACTCCAGTGATGTACTGTTTCTTGGGCCTGTTGTAAAGAAGAATCTTAAGCGACCAGAACTACAGATTCAGTCGTTCCGGGAATGACACAGCAGAGGGCCAATTATATTTGCACACAGGGGTGGAATCGAAGGGTCGAAGCTAGAGATCCAGTCAGAGTCATTACATTGCGTTCTTATGTAGACCTAATGATGCTCTCGAAGTCCAAAAAAAATACTTAAAGAAATGCTAGGAGGGTTGTCTTCGATGGAGCAGAAACAGCAGGAGCATTCTATCGATTCCGGGTTTTGTGAATCATTCTAACTTGTAAGTACATTAGCGTTAAACAATAATAATTATAATAATAATAATAATTGAAATTTATATAGCGCAAATTCCATATACATGATCAAATGCGCTTTACATGAAAATAAAGAAAATGTAGGGGAAAAAAAAATTTATATATATATAAAATTACAATTTTCCTAATGAGATAAGAAATTAAAAAGCCCTAACCAAATGAGATAGAATATTAAAAAGCACTAGGTTAATGAGATGGAAGATTAAAAGCCCGGGTAAAAAGGTAGGTTTTAAGATTACGTTTTAAACTAGAGAAGGAGTGAAGGCCAGTGAAGATAAAAATTATTTCAAGATTACAATGAGATAAAGGTTATTTAAAGTTGGCAGCAGTTTAACATTGGATTAAATGGTTGTAGGGTTTGTTTCTGCCATTGGATGGCTGACAGTAATCAACAAAGTTTTTTTCAAAATGTCAAAGTTCGCATGTCATTGAAAGGCGAGGTAAAAGAAATATTTCAAGAAATCTAGATTTGTCGTGATTAAAAATAAAATCACGACAAATTTACGTTTGTCTACGTATCACAGTTACGCGGCTGAAAACTTTTGAAAACTAAAGTAATGACTGACGAACTATCCTCTACTTTCTCCTGAATTATTATTGTCTATGGCCAGTCTTATAACATGGTTGACCGGCACATTGACGCTGCAATAAAGCGTCTAAAGAAAGGCGGTTTGATCATGGTGATCTAGACGATGCGAAGCTCTCGCAACGGCAAGATTGGTTGTTGTGAGATAAGTCGGACTGCGCGCGAAATCGCGTACTGAGTGAGGAAAGGGACTGCACAGACCTGCCAAGTGGATCACAGGGCACCAGACAAGTCATGATACCGGTCTTCATATAACAAACGACCTTTTGAATAAGGTGCCAGTCTATCACAGGCTACCTCGCAGCATTTCGTCACTCCGGGCTTCTCTGACAGTTCTCCGCTAGCCATTCAGTTTACCCTGGGTGGAGAATAGCATTGGGAAGAAGCAATTTGGCAATTTGATATGCTTCTGCCGTCGATTGCTTTAAAGCGACCGGCCAAAACAATGTTGCTTTCAACAACACGTGGGCAGTGGCGTTTTGTCGAAAAAAGGGTGATTAGAGCTCAGAGAAAAACGATTATTTATTGGGAACAACGGTTTCCATGAACGGCTCACATGAAACTTGCTTTCAAAATCTAACCTCAGAGCTAACTATGACGGTTATCACGCTCGTTCCCCTTCAGTTCCTACATTAGCAGAGCGTTCAGCACAGCTGTAATCAGCAAAAACGCGGTGACGGGCGAAATCATAGTAGATGTAGAGCTCAGGTGATCGCAGGATGTCAGCGCCTTCACATCTTTGCCATATACGTCTCCAAGGTAACCCATATAGCTCTGATCATCCGTCGCTATACCTTTGAGTGCTGTGGTTGCATCTTTAAAGATCAAATTTTTCCCGCCGTCATATTTCGTGGAGTTGAAGAGCTGGAAATCATTCCAGTTGGTCTGTTTCCTGCCGTACTTGTCACTCATGGCCGTTAATATTTTGATGATGTCTTCGATGTCAGAGTTTTCCTTCCTCGTAACCACTGCATGTGCAGGACTTGCGCCGAGATTGCATTCTTTTTGGTGTCCAATTTCTGAAAATGATTGAAAAAATTGTACATGATATTGACAAAAACTCTATCAAGTAGAATGCGTCCCCCAAACTCAATGCCTATAGACCTTTAAATAGCCAGTTAAGAAGAAGCGTTTCTTATGTTTCTTGATATTAATAGAAACAAAAGTGTGGATTTACTGATGTTGTGAGGGCCAAGAATTTGACCGCAAAGTAATGGTGATGGGAAAATGGGTTCGAAGTTAGAAGGAGGAAAGAAGGAGGAGTGACAAATGTCCGAGGTTCTTCGTTTCCATGGTAACCGTTAGTTCGGAGTAGCAGTGTATCGTGCCTTACCTGGTGAACAAATTACTCTGAATTTTGGGATAATTAGCCCTAGAAATCTATTCATACTGGTTGCCCGAGCAGCGGAGGTGGACGACGCAGAGACATCTTAATTGAAGTGTAACAATTCAGGATGAAGCTATTTGCATGTATATAGGGGAGATCAAATGATTAGAACAGACTACCGGTTTCTCAACTCACGCTGGAAAAATTGAAGGGTTTTATTCTTTTCTATCTCTTCCAATTATTTATCTTCATCTGATATTATCATTATTTTTGTTTGAAAGGAATATAAATGGGCGCTGGTAAATCATTAGGAAAATTAGAGGAAATACGGCGGATTACCTGTTGTGGACCAGCATTCCGTGCATGATAAAAAGCAATTCCTCACTTCTTGACACGCAAATATTTTAAGCCCGAGAAGAAGCTGCACAAGTCAACTGCGTATAAGAACTACCAGACCTCAAAAAGGATATACGTAATGCATACATTACCCATTCTCCCTCCATTCGCGCACAAGTACTGGTATGCGGTCTTGTTAGCCTCATCATAGAAAGGCTTTGGTGAGTCCATCTCGATTTTCACAAAAGCCACGTCACCCTTGCCATCCTTCATGCATTTGAAGGCCTCTTTATGGTAGTCGGAAGAGCTTACAGTGCACTTGTCATCTTCAGGACCGTCACACAGACTGCAGAGGTTTTGGACCTTCTGGTAGACGTCTGCACTTACTTTACATTTGGTACCTTGCAAACCGAACGAAAGAGAATTGATTGCTAAATACAATGAAACTAAAATCGAAGACATATTTCTGGAGAAGGAGCTCGAACCCGTCTGTCCAAGATATTTAATGGTTGAACGCAACCATAACTGAGCAAAGAAGCCTCATGTTGTGAAGGCAAATGTTTTTGGGTTCTTGGTTCCCTCCTGATTACTTTTAAAAAATAAGCATAGTTTTTTTCTGTTCAGACAGGGTATCCAATTTTTTATTTTTTTAAATTTTTTTTATTACTCCTACTCCTACCCTTCTCCCTTCCCCCCCCCCCTAATCCCGGTCGAATGATGGTAAATCAAACATTTTATCTCAATATTTTGAAAGGAATGAAGGAACTGTGCTGCCTTACTGATGATACTGATATACCGATATATGCTAGACACTCTAGTCTTTTTGGATGAAGAGAAAAATCCGGGTAGTTTTCTCTTGCACTATTATTATCAGGAACCCACTCATTATTCGAAAAAAATGAAAATATAGGTCGGAGTTCCCCATCTTCAGGTCTTTCTTTGTGAAGGATTTAAAAATTGACGAATAGAAGCGGTTTGAGGCGACACAAAGTACTTAGTCTCTGTCAGTGCATAGAGAAGACATCGCGAGGTAGGAAATTGATGAATATCCAATATTCTACCAAGCCTATCAGTATAACAATAGAAGAGAGTTTTAATCACACATCTTCGCTCTTACGTGGGACACAGCTCTCACTGAAGAACTTTGAAGCTGACAAGTATGACTTGTAAGGGTTCGCACAATCCACGGGGTCCATAATCCCTGAGCGTAACAAAAATCCCACGGAAATTTTCCAACCTGCATTCTTATCAGCTTGAGTGTGGCAAGACTTCTTTCCTTTAAGAGTCTTCAAGTCGAAGCCTGTGTTTGCCTTTTTCACAATGGCAACAGCGTAGTATTTCACATCGTACTCGCCATACTGCTCAGAGACAATGACCCTGAAGTCATATTTTTCACCTGTAAGAATGTGAAACAACTCAGACATGAGCTATCAATTTCTAAGCAAAAATATCAACCATTGAATAGTAGTATACACTAGCAAAGCGGATGATGTCGAAGGCACTCTCTGCGGATTGGCTACTTAAACTCCGAATATCCTTTGCTATTCACCTCCGAGCAATGCGCGCAGGATTTGCACCCGAAAATATTGTTATCGTTGCAAGAATAAGTGAGTTGAAATCATCTTTTTGTGCTATATTATCTCACCGTTTTAGTTTATACTGAAACAAGTATTAGGCCGTTCCGCGTGCCCACCAGTTTTGAATATGGTATTCTTAAATGAAAAAAAAGGGCTCAAGAAGAAATCAAAATACAATCAAAAAGAAGACAGAAAAATATTCATTGAAGCGAATTAGCTTTTCACCGATTTGTTTTTAAGGAAATCTATACATCTAAGCTCAAAAACCATCTTTCTTACTGATCAGAATATGTACGGCAGCTGAAAAAAATGAACAGCCGGGTAAATCCAGAGTCAATCAATGTACCTGCTGAGTAAGTGTTTCCACCATCCAAAGTCACCAGATCAGCCACGCCTTTGTTGATCTTTTCCATGCAATCGTCAGCGTCAGTTCCATCGACACAACTGGCTTTCACGGTCAATGTCATGTTTTGAGCAGTCGCATTTACGTGTTTCATAAAGTCATCGCACTTGGCTTTTTCCTTAGGTAATGCGCACCATCGAAAACTAATTTCTGCTGAAAATAAAAACGTTTACTTTGAAATAGAAACTGCCTCTATCCAAGGCTGTCGTCTATTTTTCAATTAGGTGAGTTTAGCATTAAGAAAGCCTATTCCTTAGTAAGGGTCGAAAATAGTTTGGGATTATATCAGATTTTTCTTTTTTTTTTGTGCTCTTTGAATGATCTGGAGAACTTGTATGTGCCACTCTCGTGACCAATGGCCGTGTCTAATTATTAGCCTCTGCCTTTATCTTTCTTTTAATCGTTAATAGAAACGCTTTTCTGATTTCGTTCAGAATCTCAGTTTTGAGCATGCATTAGAGTCAAAAAACAAATAGCAATTTCTTCAACGAGTCGCTGATTCTCTCTTTTTGTATAGTGCACAGGAATTGCACACCTCTCACAGACAGTTTCTTAACAGTAATTTTACGATATCCATATGGCATATATACATATATACACCTTTTGCTGATCTTTTCTCAATATTGTTGAACAAGCTATTAGTGCCTTGAAAGCTGCAATAAAGGCGGATATAAGTCGTCCTGAAATTCAAGTACAGATGAACGACCGCGCTGAAGCCAGACGTCAAGGACTTGCCTTGGGAAATTACCGCACGCAGTTGTTACTTCAAGCACTACAGAGGAATATTGGTACCATCACTGTCGCCAAATGTGGACGGTGGTTCAGGTTTATGCAGACGTACTTACCAAGATGCATCAATAACGAAGCAATCGAAGGATAATAGCCTTAAACTAAGAAACAATTTTGAAATTTCGTTTCCCTTTATTGTTTGTAATTATTACACAAATGTTTAACGATTCGCGGGATAGAATGTAACTTTTCAATAAATGATTGTCTCTTGACGCCATTGATTGTGCCTCTCTATGCTAATTGACTTCTTGAATGTCTCTTTTTCTCTTACGATTGTCACAAGATGTTAATGATTTTCTTTCGGTGTTACTGTTTGTCAATTGCGGGCGTTTAAATGTCCACTTGGCGTCCTTGATTGTCGATAGATGCTCTTGTTTGTTCGTTGACACTATTGATCGTTTATAAACATGCAAATTGCGCTCTTGAATGTTCCGTGGCGTTAATGAAGTGCTTCTTGGTGTTATAGAAAGTATATTCGCCTCATTGATTCTACACTTGGCGAAAATGAATATCTTTTTCGCCTAAATGATCAGCAAAAGGTGTATATATATATACATATTGTACGGAGTGAAGTTGGATAACAATTCTAATATTTTCATCCGTATTTTGTATTTTGGTACAATTTGTAAAAAAATATCCAGCGATACTACACACTAAACTTCTCAGTACTGAATAAGATATGTGTAGTCATATTTAACATATTCTCCGATTTAGCACTTATCGCACTCCAACGCTTTTTGGAGGACTCTGCTCTTGTAATGCTTCACTGCTGCGAACTAGTCGTCTCAATCCATCAGCTCAATTAGCGAAGTCACCTCTGATGATAGGGAAAATCATACACAGTAATGGAGCCATTACCGTTCTACAGATCCTCGGAAAGTTCTGAACAATTGTAGTTCAACAACCAGTGAGCCTTGGACGGAGAATAACTCTGCACGGGGGCAACGTTTAACAGCTAGGACAAAAACACTTTTAGAGCCCCTCGGCAAGAGTCTCAAAGTTTATGGAGGCGTTTTGTCGACTCTTTCAAGTAGAGCCAAAGACATTCACGTTTACATCCTGCCTTCGCGAATATCTCAATCTCAACTAGAGTAAATTTTGTGGCCTTGAAGCAATCTTTTCTCCTAAAGCTAGATGCAGTTTCTTACGCCAGGAAGGAAGCGAAAGTTTTGCTGGGTAAACTCTTCCACAAACATGGTATGGTAAATTCTTCTTGCGGTTAGGGAGTTTAAGAAATTTGGCGTCGTGTAACTTTTGTAGAAATGGCTCAACAATTTCTGCAGAATGTTTTTCACAGTGATGCTTACAAGACTCCCAATCTCGCGACTCATTTTTTAATTTCTCGCGAGTGACTAGGTTTTTAAGGCTTTCGAGTTCGAGATCTCTGCAAGTAGTACCCTGAAAAAGGATTTTTTGTCGCCTGGAGAAGAGGAATACAAATTGGGGTACTGGCAGTCTATCTTGCATCAAAAGAGGAGAGTGGAATCACCGAATACACTTCTCCTTTGTGATGAACGTGAAAATAATTTCGTTTTCGTGTGGGATTCTATAAGAGTAGCTCATGTTTTGCATACTGATAGAACAAATGGTACGGAAATGATGAGCATGAAAATTCACCCGCCAACAAATTACACCCAAGCCAATCAGCGAAAATCAGTACAAATGAAGTGTGCTATATTTAGGTAAGACGTTTAGGTACGAAATGCGTTCTGATTTGTGTTAAGTATCGAAAGGTAGTCTTTCGACAGTTATCGTGACAGCTAAGTTTCGTTAAAAAATATGCATGTGAAAATTATCTTTTAAAGAAAATGCCTAGGTAATCACGGCAAGGTAATCGCGGAACACGTAATCAGATACTTGAGAGCGCTGATGTGGTCCAAATTAACTAGCGTGGTCTGAATTGACCAGCGGTGAAAGAAATGCCACGTAAAGCCCTATCAGTTTGTGCTAAGCACTCAAACACCATTCCTTTGCATGGTACACCATGAGCTGAGTGACCTCAGATCAAATATCCTCGCCTAGATCAACTCAAAGGAACGCAAAATACCCACCCCCACACCCTGCCTCATCTTCTACGCCAGATGTTTATTAGAGTTTTACAGGTCGTGATTTTGGCAAAGTATACCTTTGAGGGATATACACACATCCAAATCTTTTCTCTCAGAGAAATCACTTTTGTGTACCAAAAACAATCCGTAAAATTTATAAGAAATAAAATCTCAGGGTTTATCATAATGCTATGTAATAAACAAGGTCTTGCTGGCCGAAGTTAGATTGATCGAGATTTGACTGCGACGAAAGAGAATTAAAAATAGGAAAGTTTTTAGCACTTCTGTTTCAAAAATAGAACCTGTGCCCTTCTTCCGTTTCGAAAGCTCAGCTAAACTAATAAAATTAGTGAAAAAGACACAAAATTTTTTCTCTTTCCGGGTTTGCATATTAAATTACGCTGGTTTGCAGGAATATACCGCATCAACATCGGTTTGAAAAAGCACTAACTTTGGTGGTATGTGCGATTTCGAAGTTTCCACTGAAGCTTTGAAAACATTGCATAGAATTGCGTGAGAAGAGTTGCCAGTTTAGAAGTAACACAGCTTGAAAAAATAATTTCATTTCCGCCACAGAAACTGTCCCCCACTAACTGAGGCAGCTTCGATGTTGAAGGTTGAAACAGAATTTTTTCAACCTCTACCAAAACAGCACTAATGCAACAGCGTAGATTTATGTTGGAATAAGACACATCGAAAAATGGTTTACTTACCTGAAAGTGCACATTGGATAGTGCTCAAGAGCAACCAAACGAATAGAATCTTCTCCATTTTTGTTTAAACAGATGAAGCACTTTGACACCGCCTCGAACTGACTCATTGATCTGTAGGGCTAAAAATGTATAACCAAAAACTTTAATGGAGGGTGAAATTTTACTTAGCAACAAAATGCATCTCAACCAATCAGATATCAGAGAAGGGAGTTTTACGATGTGTCTGGGTACGAATATTACCCTAATTTGCGTATTCATTGTACTGCAAGACAAATTCGTCTCGACTTGTTCTCTTACATCCGGACCTGAGCTGTGCATAAATATCGATAACACGGAATCGAGTTCCCTCTTCACAGCGGTCGAACCCGAACGAAAATAACAGGATAGACAACTCAAACCCCATTCACACTACAGAAACAACGGTGAAGCAGGCTTGAATATCGGCAAAGGTAAGTTTTGATAAAGACAAGGCAAGGATAATATATGCACCATTTTTTTAACCTGGCCGGATGTCTTCCAGGCAAGGGTGTTTTTTTTTTTTTTTTTTTT